AATGTACTTGAACTTTTTGAGCAGAGCCTCACTGATAGTGTTTAGTTATTTTATGTTATGTCACTAAGATAAAAAAAAACTTAATTGAACAATATACATTGGTCTAAAGTAAATTGAAGTATTGATACACATGCATCCATTTTACATGCATTGAAGAATTAACAAAATAAAATTATTTTTTTAAAGTGTGATTTTATTATTTTTTTTTTTTGAGGGCTTTTGGGAGGGCTTTTGGGAGATTTTGGCTCTACAATGTAGGTCCAAATTTCAGAAAAAATACATGACATGTATCACTGACAGACTGGGTCTTAATTGAATTAAAATGCAGTCCTTTATTATAAGGACTCTAAATCCTGTAGAACTTTTTCATTATCTCCGAACATATTATATGTTATTTTGGTTTTGGAGTGATATATGTGGATATATTACCTGTTAAGATTTTATAAACGGCTCGGGTGATATTTTATCTTGGCAGGTAATATATCCACTGTGATATATCACTCCAAAACCAAAATAATAATTTTATTACCCTTACCCTGCCGAGTTTAGACGATTTTTAGCTCGACTATTCGAAGAATATGAGAGCTATTGTAGTCGCCCCGGCGTCGGCGTCAGCGTCCGCGTCGGCGTCTGCGTTGGTTAAAGTTTTTTGTAAAGTCAAATATCTCAATTATTACTTGAGATATCCAATTGAAACTTACAATACTTATTTATAGTAACAAGGTACATCAGATTGACAAGTGGGATAACTCTGCCTACAATATTGACATAATTATGCCCCTTTTTAACTTAGAACTTTTGGTTAAAGTTTTTTGTAAAGTCAAATATCTCAATTATTGCTTGAGATATTCAATTGAAACTTACAATACTTATTTATAGTAACAAGGTACATCAGATTGACAAGTTGGATAACTCTGCCTACAATATTGACAGAATTATGCCCCTTTTTTACTTAGAACTTTTGGTTAAAGTTTTTTGTAAAGTCAAATATCTCAATTATTGCTTGAGATATTCAATTGAAACTTACAATACTTATTTATAGTAACAAGGTACATCAGATTGACAAGTTGGATAACTATGCCTACAATATTGACAGAATTATGCCCCTTTTTTTACTTAGAAATTTTGGTTAAAGTTTTTTTGTAAAGTCAAATATCTCAATTATTGCTTGAGATATTCAATTGAAATTTAAAATACTTTTTTAGCTCGACTATTCGAAGAATATGAGAGCTATTGTAGTCGCCCCGGCGTCGGCGTCGGCGTCAGCGTCCGCGTCGGCGTCTGCGTTGGTTAAAGTTTTTTGTAAAGTCAAATATCTCAATTATTACTTGAGATATTCAATTGAAACTTACAATAGTTATTTATAGTAACAAGGTACATCAGCTTGACAAGTTGGATAACTCTGCCTACAATATTGACAGAATTATGCCCCTTTTTAACTTAGAACTTTTGGTTAAAATTTTTTGTAAAGTCAAATATCTCAATAATTGCTTGAGATATTCAATTTAAACTTACAATATTTATTTATAGTAACAAGGTACATCAGATTGACAAGTTGGATAACTCTGCCTACAATATTGACAGAATTATGCCCCTTTTTAACTTTGAAATTTTGGTTAAAGTTTTTTGTAAAGTCAAATATCTCAATTATTGCTTGAGATATTCAATTGAAATTTAAAATTCTTATTTATAATAACAATGTACATCAGTTTGCAAAATTGCATAACTCTGTCTGCAATATTTGCAGAATAATTTGCCCCTTTGAAACTTTGAAATTTTGGTTATTAAAAAGGTTAAAAATCTTCAAAGATGTTTACTTGAAATTTTACACATGCACTTAGGGTCATAATTGGAGGGGCATAATTGTATGTCACTGACCAAGTTCCATAACTCTATCTTGCATTAAGGCTGATTCATATCCCCTTTTCTACTAAGTCTCTTGGTTAATGTTTACATGCAAGTTTTACATATCTCAATAACTGTTAAAGATATTTATTTAAAACTTCACATATGCATTTAGGGTCACTGACAAAGATCCATAATTCTATCTTGCATTTAGGCTGATTTTTCTCCCCTTTTTCAACTTAGAAATTCATGGTAAAGTTTTGCTTGTAAGCTGTTATTTCAATAACTACTGAAGGGTTTGTGCCTTTTTTGGTACAATTTTATGCATTCATAATAATAAAGCAGTGATTTACTTGATAAAACATCTTAATAACAAGCTTTTGTACCTTTTCTGTCAAATTTATGTATTCATAGGTAATTAGTATTATTATACTCAATAAAAAACCCTCGTGACATTACCTTCCAAATAGTCAAGCCAATTCTGTATAATTAGACTCTCTCTAAGACCTATAACATGAATTTATAAAAAAAAATTAGCCCTTTTGTGAACTTAAAAAATTTAACATTATCAAGGCTCTTTTACTATCAAGCACTTAGAATAGTCGAGCGTGCTGTCCTACAGACAGCTCTTGTTATAGTAACAATGTACATCAGTTTGCAAAATTGCATAACTCTGCCTGCAATATTTGCAGAATTATTTGCCCCTTTGAATCTTTTGGTTAAAGGTTAAAGGTCTTCAAAGATATTTACTTGAAACTTTACACATGCACTTAGGGTCATAATTGGAGGGTCATACTATCAAGCACTTAGAATAGTCGAGCGTGCTGTCCTACCGACAGCTCTTGTTTAAATAACCATTGCTGTTTCAAATGAAACGTCGAAATAAGATTCCCTTTAGGATACCTCTTCGTCACAACATGACGTCACATAAATACATGACGTATTTTTCCCGTACCTTACGAAAGTAAACAAGAGAAAAGGAGTAGTCTATTGAACGCACTTTTTTGTAATTAATATCAAGCTTTCACAAGGTCATATTTGTTTTCGATACTGATGGTTATATGTATCATTACTCTACTTTGGTAAATATTTATCATTTGACAGTTAAAAAGTGCTTTTAAATCGGAATTTACACCGCGTAAAATCGAACCGTACGCGCATCACCTCAGCGCATGTTGTTTACAACGTTGGGTACCAAACGGGGAAATTTAGTGTGTATATTACCCGTCTGGCTCGGTTATATCAATTTCTTTCGGGTGATCAATATCCAATCAAAAAGGCGGAAAAAATCTGGAAGGGTAATAAATACTTATATCATTATTATTAATGAATGTTATGGTACATTTAACAAGTTCCATTCATTTAAGAGAGGTCATTAAATATTTATAAATCAAGATTTTGTAACAAAATTGATGTAACTTGTTGGCTTTAACTTCATTAAGTTACTTTAGTGTTCCATGGAACATACAATATTTATTTTATCTGCGTGAAACATCTGTAATGAGATTTACAGACTTACATGTTGATGATGATGATTAATTCAGAATTGATTTTTACTGAGCTTTTCATGGTACAATAGGTGTACAGGTTCTTCTCTGTCACGTGTGAGTTTAATGTTGCCTGACTGCATTGCTATATCTTCTAAGCATGCATATATGTACTGAACAATTTAAGATGCAGGGGAAATTATGAGATTCCCAAGATTCAAAATCTGATTTTGAATTACTTGTCCGTTTTTATCTGAAGCATTTCTTAACTTGTCAGTTCTTGAAAATTTCCACTTGTCCATACAGGCTGTGGGACAACCTGGGCAATACGGATAGTTGATTTTACCACCCGTCAGGTTTCAAAAACATCAATTTAGAAAGATATGAAAGTCATTATTAAGTCTAAGCATCATTGCATAAACGTCATGCTTATATATCTGTATAGGCTGACCAAACTCTTATACAGTAATTTTATAATCTTTAAAAAACCTTTGAAATTTACAAATTGGACAGTTCTATTATATTCTCAATGGCCAAGTCCATTAGATCAAATCAAGAATGGTTTGAGAGGTATATAGGGATTGCAGGGGTTTCATTATATTAACAGATTGGCTATTTATATAATTGGCTGAAATGCTGTTAAAATTGGTTGTATTTTTAGCCTGTATATTAAAATACCCCCCTTGACCCAATTAGCCAAATTGGTTGTTTTTGTTTGGCATATCTTTTGCTTCAGATAAAAATGAAAACCCTTGAATTGGGTGTAAAAGCGTTTCCAATACAATTTCATGACATTAAATGTAATTTACACTATTTAGAAATCGTTTCAGATGTTCATTTATAGAATAACTCATGCTGTAAATGTCTTATTTCTTTTTAAATGCAAACTATAGTGCCGATTCTTGAATGGAAGTTATTTGATTGACAATTGATCAAAGAAGATGTTAGAATGGTGATTGGAGTTATTTGTACTGTGAAGAAGAATTTAAATTTATAATTTATGAATGTAAGAATGTTAGGGTAGAATGAAAAATTTATAGCAGTAAAGAAATTCTTAAGTACAATAACACACTGTTTCATGATTCTGTATATTTGATGGAATTTATTTTTCATAGAGTGCAAATTCTTTATTTTAAATTCTTATTAGAAATCTATTTATTTTAAAAATAATTTAAAACTTATTTCATGTCAATATGTTGTAGTTAATTATGCCGGTGTCCCATTTTTACATTGCTGTTTAATTGTTTTGTATTATTTTAAAAGAATATTAAGATCCTGCATATTACATGACTTGAAAAAAGTACGCCAAATTATGTAGTACATTTTAACGCCATTTTCATTCAGACGTCATATGACTATAAATGTCATTTCCTGTTAACTTTGTAGTATACCTGATAAAGACCCTTTTAATGTGGAAACATTGTGCTTTTTAATAAAAAAATGCATTTTTAAATATAAACTGGAGTTGATTTCTGTATTTTTATATTTACAGAATAAAAAACATTAATAATAAGTATTTTTCTTGGATCTTTAAACAAAAATTTGTTTTTATAAAGTGCTTTAGAATATATGCACAAACAAACTAGGTTCGTTTGCCAGTACTAAATTAATAGACAACAAATGCTCGTTTGCTACATTAGTTCATAATATGACACATCAATTTGACACCATGTGACATTGAACAATAAAATGGAATGGGTGGAGGAACGTAAAACGACTTTTTGTGATGAAGTGAAGCAAGACAATATACCTGAAGCTAGTGAGAATGGATCACATAAACGTAACAGTTCTATGTCACAATATCTTCAAAATGAGAAAGATGAAGTGATATTCGGTGGCTACACCCCTAGTGTTACAGATGGGACAAAATTGTCTCAGAGATTCAGTGAAGTTAGGCCACTCCCTCATCCGAAAGAGGATATTTTCCAAAACGGGGTTAAAACTCTGCCTATATGCATTGGATTATTAAGCGTGGACAATATCTTGCCACCAACTTCCTTTTTCAATCAGGTAAATTAAAAAGGAGTAAGGCTTTTTATTTTGTTTTAAGTCAATTATAGTTGATACTTGGGCTTATTGAAATATTCATGTCTAGTAAGTGTATTTTAATTAAGTCCCTGTAGATTGATACTTTAAGTCGTTAATTGCATCACAGTATAAAGATAAAAGAGTGGCAGCTGATTAATACAGTCATTTTACTTTCCTAGTCAATCAGCATTCTTATAATGATAATAATTAAGGATTTAAGAATGCATGTGCCCCAGGGCACTGGAAAGTCTTTCTCGTGAGAGTTAAGTTGACATTTCTTCAGAAATGTGGAAGTTGTCTGCTCGTCCAATTAAATGGCCAACATTATTAAACGCCAGATTAACACAACCATAACGATCTGAGAAAATATCAGTTTTAAAAATGCTGATTAATTAATGCTTTTACTGTTATCTGTTCTCCAGTGAATCAGTTTTATTACTGTAAGTTGCTCCTAGAGCATAACTATTATCTCACTCTATATTATACTGCAGTTCAAGTCAAGAAAAAAAAATCATTTATGATAGAAAAGAATGTGATAAATAGACAAAATGCTATCTTTTACTGTATTTAGTTCACAGTGTGCCCTATATATGTGTAAACTCTACCTGAAGACTTGCAGGTAGAAATTATGTCAGTAAATTATCCAGGTATACAATGAAGTTACCTGTATGTGAGACTGAGATAGTAGACTAGGAGCCAGTCAACTAGGTGCCACTTTATTGATATCTCAATGCTGTGCTGGAAAATATTGCACATACTGTAAATATACCAATGTATGTCAACATTTATAATTCAATTATACTTGTCTGTAAGGTTGAATTATTTAAGTATAAATTGTGAAATAAGTCATGAGGAAATGTAATGAATTAAGTTAGCTTTAACTTTGTTTATGTAATGTACATGATTTGTTATGTGTTTACAGTTGCTAGTCTTTTAATGCAAAATTAAGACAATTTATTGAAATGTTCGAACCAAATTCATAGTATATAAAATTGAATTTAGACTTTCCGTTGCTTTGCCTGCTTGCACAATCTCATTCTACCCATGCAACAATTTGACAGAGTTGTCTGATCATGGTCTATACAGCTGCTTGCTTAATTCTGTGTCACTAGATGTTTGGAAGTTTTCCCAAAGAATGAGAAATTGTTTTGTCCAGATTGATAGATGGACAAGTCACATACTGATGTGAATTTTTGTGAATTATAAGTCAAAAAGAAAAAAGTCTTTAAAAAGAAAAGTTCTTATTAACCCTCAAACTCCCCACCCCATTCCGTCTAATGATGCCATTATAAAGCAAAGATACAGCCAATTTTTTATTTGTTATTTAACTCAGTATAATATGTTGTTGTTTTTTTTTTTTCAAAAATATAAATAAATTATATATATATTTATTAGTAAACTTATGTTTTAAACATTTTACTTCCATGTTGGCCACTCAAATTTGTCACATACAATACATGTGCTTGTATTTTGTTTTATGTAAAAATATAGATAGATCAAACAGTGCTTCAAGATTTGTGTAAATGTAATACAAACTGGGTGTTCTTAAAATATAAAAGATTTACTGCCCATTAAATTTTATATACATGTCACTAGTGTACATAAAACATGTATAGCACTTTTTTTTCTACACTTCATTAAAATTAAGAACTCTTCAGATTAATTTTTTTGTGAAAATTTTAGAAAGTATTTTTAAAGAAGTATGTTTAGTAATTTCTGAGCTATTTTTAAAGACACGTTAGGCTTCATCTAATAAACGTTTTCCCTATAAAGTTTTTGTCAAGTATATTTACACAGAAAATTCTTCAGGATATATCACAGGTTTCAGAGTACACAAAAGGTTACCTTGTTTAAAATAGAATCCACAGCACTAAATAAAAAATGTAATGCTCTAAAAGAGTCTTTGTCTGTTTGTACAATCATACTGTACTATGACCAGACTTTATACTGTTTGCTTCTAACTTATAACAATTTTATATTGAAAGTCCTTAAACTAATAATTAGAAAGTCAGTTTAGTACTGTGTTAACACATCAGACTACAGTAGTATTAGTAATGATCCCTGGCAATGTGGGTTCAAGCCCTCTTGGGTGCAAGACATTGTTTCATTGAGCAAGAAACTTAGATTTACACTTAGTGACTTATTGCTCAGTAGTCAGTACACTGGTTAGTTCCTGGATGAGCGAATTTTAGTGTATGTCTATAAGCTTTTAAGTTTCAAACAGAATGAAACAAAAAATAAATTATATATAAACTAATCTGTAGCTCCTTATTCAAAGCCAGATAAGTTAAATTTATTAATCTGGCAGGGTGAGAATGAATGTCTTGACAATTATGATATATTTATTATGATGATGAAGTAAAAATGTGTTATTTTTTATTGCAGGTTGAGGGCATTAGTAATGTAGAGTTTCAGTTGCGGGTGAGTTTGTTTGATCTAGCATATCATCAGTTCTTCGGACGACAATGGGCGGGGCAATATTCCGAGCTGGCAGGTCTGGGCGGTCAGTCAAAACCAAAGCTGCGCTTGTCACAGGTAAAATTTATAACAATCTGACTCCCATTTTGTAATTGCTAAATTTTGATGATGTCACAATAAAAAAAGTTACAGTATTACTACAGTTATATATCTATCTATTTTTTTCTTTTCTCATTTTTATACTCCCAAGTGGCAAAATAACAGTTTTATATTTTGTGTATTTAAAGAAAGTATGAATTTAGCTAATTTTTTACAATGCCTCATCAAAGGGCTTTTTAAATCAATAACTCATAATTATGCAAAAGATTTAAAATGTTGCTTGCAAAAGATGATAAAATAATTATTTAGTCTTAGTCTGATGGAGTCAAAAGGGATAGCCTTTGCCACCAGTATTGATCCAGACCACTCTATACTTCTGTGCATGCAGTTCGACCAGGGTTTATACTGTTGGCTGATAAACTTTATACTTTCATATCAATATCCCCCAAAATTGATAACTGCCAGTTCTAGAAATGAAGCTGGACAAGTCCATTAAAGGGTTTCAGAAGGTTAAAGGGAAAAAATATTTTATAGTCTGTTCTATGTTTTCAGAGTATATACTTCCACACATCTATAGTCAGTTCCAATATAATTGCCGTCGTAGAGTTGGTGGCATCTGGCCTAGATGAAGGTGGACGTCTCAAAAAGATCTCATGTGGGTGGGGTATTATAAGGCCGTTCAAAGATGAGGAAATCCCGGATACGGCCAGAGGAATCAAAGCACCAACACAAAAGTATGTATATTATTATTCTTACCAATGGTTATATTAAATAATATACATTCCAAAGGGTCAGTGCAAAACTGTTGTATTTTCTTCTTTATGCCTAAAGAATTAACAGCCATTTCATACCTAGCCCTTGAATTTCAAACAACAAGTTGGTTAGAATCCTATCATTGGTGTTATAAGACTAGCTTACAGGAAGTCTATAGTTCTACCCGAGTGCTCAATTATGTCTGGGTTAATAAAAGTAGAGACACCAGTGACATGAGGTCTACCTCTATCTTATTCAAAGCTACCATAGCATCCTTGAAAAGTTTGTCTATGACATTATAGAGGCACAGATTATAATCTCATAAACAAATTTTTTCTTTCCTTATAAATGTCACACATTAGTTTTATAAGATTTAAACGATAGTTTAACAATATGGAAGATGCTAATATTACCTGAAGAAAGTAGTGCTTAATGTGAAATTATTTGTCAAATAACAGTGTACCAACTGGATCAATGAGTAAGGTTTAGGAAACTATAGCAGAACATCATGGATAAAAAGCTTTTGACAAACAAAACTGAAAGGATTTCAGGAGCCTTTTAAACCATTGACTACAAATAGACACATATTTTTAAAATATCTAGAGTTACTTTAGCCAGATAATTCAAAATACCTCATCTTTGAGTAAAATAAGTTTATTGCAGAAATTATTTGAAATCTATGAAAAACTGAACATTCTTACTGGATATGTCTAATTTGAATAAAAGATTGTGCAAACTATGTATGAGGAGTAGCTGCTGCATTCCCTATTACAGTTCATGTAATATTGGTCCTTATTAAAAAATGACACTATAATTATAATATATAGTATGTAGAGCATAACCTACATGTTGATTTTAGATTTAAAAAGCGACAGTGTAGCAGTTTTCAATATTTTCAAATATTAAATTTTAGCATAATATATTTTGTGAATCCCAAACAATATAATGAATGAGAAAAAATAATCCTTGTGAAAAAGGGACATTACTTTATAAATGTAACTTTGAGAAAAGTTACATGTAATACAATATTGACAGTAATATGAAGTAAGTGAAGCATGCAAATAACTTTGTAACAAAATGTATAAATTTTTGATGATCATGCTTTAAAAAACAAAGCATAACCCCCTCCCCTCCCTCCCCAACAAAAAAACACCCTTCAGAGTAAAAGTGATGGTGGTGTGTGTTCATCAAGAAAATTTTTTTTTTTTCATTTGGAATGTCTGCAGCTAAGCATGCTATCCTGTATTGCATAGTCATTGCATTGACATATGTGTAGGTGTATGCATACATTTTTTATGTGGGTCTACTTCATTAAGTGCCTAATATATATTTTTTTTTCTTTTCATGATTTATTGTTTCAGTCAGCACACATCGGATTTATAGCTGATAATTACTTATCGTCTGCATACACATGCCAAGTATAAGTGTCTGAAATACAGTCACTGGTATTCTGGTTTTCTTTTAGACAATTTTATAACCAGTATCTGGTCTTTATATCTGAATTTATTTGTTTTTCTTGATTCTCTAAAATTTCCTAGTTGAAACTTCATAAAAAAGGAGATAATTATGAACTAGGGGGCACTGTCAATTATGTCCTGCTAAAATAGAAATTTTAAAAATCCAGTCTCATGTGAAAAATAAAATAGAGCTCAATGTCAAAGTACAGGTACTAGAATTTAGAAATCATCAGATAAGTATTTGGTCCTTCTTTCCCAAAAATCAGGTTGACCTGGCCTCTGACATTATACAGATGCCCCAGGGGGCCTGTCTTATGCTGGAATATTTAACTACATGTATGCTTAAAAACATTTAGTTATCATACAAATTTATTTTCGTTCAATTGTGTTGGAAGCTATAAGCTTAATGAAGCATTCTCAAATCCAGTACTAAGTAATGAGTGTAAAGTTTCTTGCTCGAGCAAACAACATCTTGCCCTTTACAGGGTTTATACCCACATGGTCAGCAATCCTTAGATTACTAGTCGGATGTGCTTAAATCAGTAGGCCATGCTGCCACCAAAAAAAAAAAAAAAAAACATTTGTGAAGAAGTGACTTGTTGTATACATTATTTGATTATTGAACTTTTTTTCCAGGTGCCAGCTTTATTATGGTACACCTAGAGCTCTATATTTCATGGATGAACCAGTTGAAGGTATACACAGTTATTACTTGAGATGACTCATGTAGTAAATTACTTAATAACTTTGATTAAATTGTTTGTCTTATTTTAGTATTTTGTGATAAATGTGATTTAATATCAAGTTAATTTAATGAAAGCAGGGAAAAAAATACTTGTTGTGATCAGCATGTTAATATAGAGGATTCAATGAGTTTAGTTTATGAATTTTTGAGGTGAATAATATATAGCGAGCTGTTGGCTAATACTATTTATTCAAGTTAAATCTAATGAACTACACAATTAATTTTATCACAACCAATTTTTACTGACGGCCTATATTAAATAACCTTTCACATTTCCTATGTTGTATAACGTTATGAGTAATCAAATTTATGCCGTGCCATTTTAATCTAAATGCATTGGTGTTTGTTGAATAATTACTGAAACAAACTGTGACAGCACACAATCTTTCTCTACAGAGTAAAATATTGTAATCTTATTGGAATTATGAAGAATTACTTTCACTCGCAATCTGAGTTTCAATTTTTTTTCTATTCATAACTCTGTGGTATTAAAATTATAATTTTCTTCGTTCATGCGTTTATGAATTTACATGATATTTGTTTTTCAAGACGTGATTCTGCGGCAATAGGCTGTGAGTTAGTTTACAATAGCTAACTAAGCTATTTTAAAGGTAGGCCATTCTGCTACAAAAAGACACGTTGTGGAAATAAATGACTTGTTGATACATTATTTGATATTGAACTCCGCCAGTGTAAGATAATATTTACAGAGTAGAAGTTAGATAATTTTTGAAGGACTTGTGTAAACCTTAGGAACGTTGGGAATTTAATTGAATTTGTCTTAATTTTAGGTAATTTTGATATTTCGACATTTAAAGTTGAGTTAAATTAATTGTAAAAAAGAGGTGGAAAAAATAAACTCCCTGTAGAATAATCCATGTGAGTTATACTATGTTATCGGTTTGAAAAAAACGAAACTAAGTCATACTTGTAACCCAAACTACATTTAGGAAGATCAAATGTATTTGTTGTTTAAAAGTTTGCACATCAAGGAAGATTTTTTAATCGAATTTGAAACTTGTCATTAAGTTTTATAATTTCATATTTTTTTATCGCATCATAAAGACTAAAGAAATTAGAAATTTGTCCATGTGATTTAGTTTTATGATTAGTTACATGCTTTCCTAACGCTGTGAGTTTCTCGGCCCTTTGGGATTGTGGCTTATTTTCAGTAGCAAAACACACTAGCTTATAGAAGGTTGATCTGTTACCAAAAACACGTGAATAAATGTTGATGAATATATAAAAGTATACATTAATTTTAAGTTTAAGCTGAAAACTTTGTAAGAATTTGATAGATCTTGTTTTAATGGATTTGAGCATCCTTTAATGTCGAGTTTAAAGGTAAAAGGAGGGAACTCACCATGTAAATATTCAACATGGTTATACGGACACACTTTGTCATGACAAAAACTGGGACACTAATATATGACAACGTTGACTGATACATTCATGGTTAATTTTAGATAAAGGGAATATGGTGATATTATTAGAGGTTTTAGTCATTATACTTTTCATGTTTTGCTTTTCTTAGAAAATCTGTCTGCTTAATTTGCCTTAACAGGAACAAAAATAGGGTTTTGCTTTGACAATTTGTGTCTTGTTTATTCTGTATAAGCTAGACTTGGATGAAACAAATTAGTCTAATTTAGAATTCATGTTTTAATTTCCTGTTGTTTCTTTTTAAAGCCAAAGACAAGCTAAAGAAGCCAAAGAAGTTGAAATCCCAAGCTTTAACTATAGAGCATATAACATTACAATTGAACCCAACTATAGAAAAGTTTGAGGAAGAGCTTTGTGAGACATTACAGGAAGATAGGCTTAATATGATAGGGAAGCATTCTGACGGCACGTCCATGGCGATTATGGAAAGAAGACTTGTGGTAAAAAATGATTTTATATGAATTACGTATGTGTACAATAGGTTTTTCATTTTGGCAATTTGTCTAAAGTTTAGATCTTAATGTTAGTAACACGGTTTCCCCTTTAAGCGAATTTTGATTTTCAAATAAAGGCTTTACAAAGATTTACAAAGAATCAATTGACAAAAAATGAACACCTGGGTCACTGGGTTCATTCCTCAGACAAGGAAAAATTGCTCTGCGACCCCTCGAAACATTGCAGGATTATAAATTTGTGAAAACTTTTGTGAATTTTTAATTGTTTCCAAAGTGACTGCTAATTCAGAAATCATTTGGGAGAAGAAGTTGGTTACTTGTGGAGAAATTAGATATTTCATGTACTTTATTTTTAATTTTTATGAATAAAATCTTCCTCTTTGTTAATTCTCACATTCTCAATGCTCTTGTTATACTGTCAAGCACTGAAAACAGTCAAGCATGCTAACAATTGGTGACAGCTCTTGTTATACTGTCAAGCACTGAAAACAGTCAAGCATGCTAACAGGGTGACAGCTCTTGTTCAAACTTTATTTTACTAATATGATATGTTTATTATGTAAGGTTGGTATACACAATGGTTGGACATTTGTGGAGAAGCCACAGACATATTTACTAGATGCTAAGAATGTCTCTATGAAATCCTTGAAGCCGGGCGCCAGTCCGTCGTTCAGACGCAGTCAAAGATTTAAAAGTTCACATAGGTCACAAGATGGTGATTTTGGGTAAGTACTCGGCTTTGTTCTGTGAGGTAATTTGTTTAAACATTAGTTATTTGAGCTAGATTTAAAGAAAGCTTGTAGCTCATTTGACTCACTTCTGAGCTCACTTCAAGGAACTAATTTGGTACTGGTGTTTTATAATTTAACATAGTTGTGACCCCTGTAGGGGTCCAATGCATGATGTCGCATAGAGGGGAAGACTTCTTAACTGTTTGATAATGGTATAAGGTATATAGGTATAACCCTTAAAAAACAATAAAGTCTTATAGAAATTGAAAATGATGGGTATGGTGTCTGCCTCTCTCAATTGATCATTGGTTTGAACCTTTTAAGAATCCTGACCACAAATCTTTGAATGACATTACATGTTTTAGTCAAGGAAAAGGTTTCCAAGTTGATAAAACTTTAATAACTTGCTTTGCAATTGAGCTATAAATCTTTAAACAAAGCTGAAGGTAAAGAGGATACCATCTTCAGCAATGGCCATTCACTACTGATATAACTTTGTTTAGTTAGCCAGGAAAGAAAATGTTTTTGATTCTTTTGGTGTTGGCAGAAGTCAGCTTGACTTGGCTGTTTACTTTCAGTACTTTGATACTGGTAAGGGTCATTGTACAGTTGTATTAATTGTATGTTTTATTTAACAGAAATGACCTGATTAATCATCTGGTACTCAATCAAAGAGTGCACATTAATGAAATCCTTGAAGATCCAATGTTTGCTGTTGTATTTATACTGGAGTATGTGATCGGGGAACAACTGTCAGCCGAGGATAGGAAGGTAATGTACAGATCATTTATGTCAATTAATAGGTAAAACAGACATATACAAGACATATGCACCCCCCTAAAGTTCCCACCTCCCCACCCCCCGCCTCTCAGTACATAGCCAGGCCAGACATAGTTAAATAATGCAAAGGAAGAGAAAAAAAAAGGACCAGGATCAGAGTGTTAGCAGTTTACAGTTTTGTTGATATTTTACACTGTCATGGGCAGATTTCTATGTAGTAAAGGGCTTAAGATAAGAAATTTGATGCCTGAAAGTGTTTTAAACGGTTAAACTCCAGTGTGTTTTTCCTATCTACTTTGTTGGTGCTAGCATTTTCATGTTCAATCATGCTTTTGCTATGTTTTATCATATTTTTATATATCTTAATATTTTAAGATGTCATGCAAATATTACATTGTGGTTTTATAATTATATATTTACTAGATGTCTAAAAGTATACAGAGAGGTAACACAAGGTCAGCGACTTTACGTTGGTCCGCCTGGAATCCATTCCTGCAACAGCATAACTCACCTCATGTCACTGTAGGACTGTTTGGTGGTCCGATCCCCTCACCTGACGGAGAATTTGTCTACAAGGTACCAGATACAGCCATGCAAGACGAGATGTCCTCTAGAACTGCAGGCGGTCTCATGGCTTTCCAATGGGGATTTGGCTTCAAGGTAAGATTTTTAACCAAAAAAAATTCACTAAATTTAATTGCAAGCCTTGCTCTCTAATTTCTTAAATATCCATGTTGAAATCAGATACTGATAGATAATTAAGGCCTTAAAACTGTGCTTTGATAAGTTATCTTGTGTTTTTCCCGTGTGTCGCAACAGTTTTGCTTTAAACCAATGATTTCAATTCTTAACAGCGTGTTAAATATGTTTGGAATATTTACACCTCAACTTCATGTTTATATTCATATTTATGTATTGACAAATTGAAAGTGTACATATACAGTAGAATTTCGACACATCGAAAAATTTGACACATGAAATTTTTACTCAAATATAGGATTGTATAAAGAATATATAGAGGAAAAAATCAGGACATTCGTTTTACTTGGACTGATTGAGAAAATCAATTAACGGAAGTTGGACTCACAGAAATTCTACTGTAATTGTGTCAGAATTATCACCACTCTATAATTTTACTAATTACCATTCTTTATCTTAATTTCATGTCATCAGGAGAGTGTCTCATCTGGTATACACCCCACCCACCCTATGTCTATGGCTCCAGGGTTCCCAATGGGCTCGGCACACTCAATGAGGTCCATGGAGAGCAGTGATGTGGGAGGTATGATGCATGAGTCACCAACAACCCAAAGGAAACCACCCTCTGGTCGACAAATTTCTGCTAGGTTTGAACTCTTTGTTTTATTTTCATGTATTTATTTTAAGGAAAATATATTCACCCTCCAAAAAATCCCAATATTTTTATTCATTATATCTTTCTCATTTATAAATATAACATATTTTGCAATAATGTTAGTTAAAATGCCAGATCCTTACTTTTGAATGTCGTACTAATTTTGATTTTTGAATGTCGTACAAATATTTAGCTTGTGTATTGAAATGATGATTTTTAATTGGCTTTGGTTAATTGATTGAAATTATATTCTTAATAGAAACCTTCTCAGCCTTATATGTCACCTTATTTGTATTTAAATTGAACTAGCAAAAAGACGAGAAAAAAGTGTCTTGATATTATTACACAGAATATTTATACAGTAACTATCATGACTATTGATATTTCAGAGGTCCACCAGGGCCAACTACTCTTGCAGTACCTCAGCAGATCGGCACAGGAAGTGTACTGCAGCCGCAGCAGATGCCCATGCAGTACCCGCAGGTGTACGCCCAGAGTATGCCTCCGCAGATGTATTACCCATGCACCAGGGACCTGTACAGATGTATGGAATGCAGGTAAGAAACAAAAATTTGTACTTGAACTTAAAAAAAGCATGATTATGGCATAATTCAACACTTTCCAGGTACATTATAAAAAAATGGTTCCAGGTACATTATTTGGTTTGAAAGTGTTTTATAAAAGCTTAAATCACGTTATGTGTGCTAATGATACTTTTTTAAAAATATTTTCTTAATTTGATAAAAATAGCATGGAACTACTACTAAATGTAGTATGTTGTTTAGGTCCAATTAAAATATTGTCCCTGTTGTTCCTAATTATTGTAACAGTCGCTTATGTTTATTGGTCAAATTGACAAGAAGTTCATCCTGGTAAGTGTCAAAATTTACATGGTATATTTGTTGGGTTTCTTTGTTTGTATATAATAAAAGGATAAATAAATACTCATTATATATAAGGATCAATATATTCTAATGTATTCTTGGGTTTCGCAGCCTCAGGTACCAGAGATGCAGGAGTTGAAATACACACCATCATATCAACCTATTTTAACAGGTGCCCCACAACCTAAAAGGTAAGTTTTGTCATCTTCAAAGCTGCTATTAGTTTAAACATATTTTATTTAGAAAATTAACAGGCATTTATCATTTTACATCACAATATATTTAGATGGGAAAGCAAGCATAACACTATAAATTCCTTTCCATGATGGAGTTTTGTCTTTATTATTTCTCTTTAGTGCATGTAAAATATTGATATGTCAAAAAATGTAAAAAAGAAAGGAAATTGCTCATCAATGTTATAAAGGTATGTTGCTATATCATAGAAGGTGTACCACAACCTTAAAAGTAAGAAGCTTCATCTAGATGGGTTCTAGACCCTTAACTCTCTAAATATCTTAAATGACTTTTCCCAGGTCCTGGGATACACACCATTTATCCATTTTATGGGACAACTTAAAAGTATGTTATTTTGCAAGTGATATACTCAAACAGTATCGACCATATAGATTATACATGGAATCAGTTTAATTAAAATTTATTATATCTGTTTCTATGTCTCGACAATTTTGTTCAGTATTTTGCTGGTGAGTTGTAATTGCTACAAGATTATTAATACATTGTAATTTATCAATTTAACCTGAATTGAATTATAATGCAGAAATAGTTTTTTAAATTTTATAATTGATCATAACATCTGAAGACTGTAAATGATTGGAGATTGGAAATAGTATTTGTGTATTAATATCTTCAGGGGTTCTGGTCTATCTAGAGCAGCCTATGCCAAGTTGTACTCCGTGGGTTTCCCGCCGGTACTGGACCGGAACGGAGAGCCACCAGAGGTCATAGATCCGAACACCCACGTTGTTACAGTTGATTTACAGAGGGAGCTGAATGATCCGCTGCAATGTAACGAGGTTATCTTCCAGTTCCTGGCCTTCTCAAAGTATGTATCCAACTTATTTGAGCCGTGCCATGACAAAACCAACATAATGAGTTTGCGACCAGCATGGATCCAGACCAGCCTGCGCATCCGCGCAGTCTGATCAGGATCCATGCTGTTCGCTATCAGTTTCTTTACTTGTTATAGAGTATGTAAGCGAACAGCATGGATCCTGATCAGACTGCGCGGATACGCAGACTGGTCTGGATCCTTGCTGGTTGCAAACCCATTATGTTGGTTTTGTTGTGACGTGGCTCATTTATAAACCAGGCCTGGAGGTTATAAAACTTTTCCCTGAGTACTGTCTCAAAAGGATTTTCATTGGTCAGAATTCATTCTGTGACAATTTCTGACCAAACAAATACCTGAGATGAGAGTTTGAGCTTTGAGAATTTCTTTATAGCTTCAGACTTTGGTTTTCCAGTGTGAAACTGTAGCTATAGCATTAGTGAATGTTGGCGAGCAGCTGTGTGAGAACAGTTTCTGCTGTGCACAAGTCCATCATTTGTCAGCTTAACTTTCACAGAATAAATCATTAATGTCGTCAAGTGCCTTGGCGCATTTTGTCAGGAATTTATGATTTGGTTTTGTTTGGTTGAAATAATGGCTATTTTAAACATGATTTTGATGAAAAAGTTATTTTGTGACAATTTCATGTAATAAATTATATTTTTTTAGGGTGTATAGTAAATGAGACCTTTTTGTGTGCAGATTAATTGAAGTATAGGAACTTTCAGAGTGAAATATAAATTGTATCACTCACATGTGTCACTCATATAGGAATAATAACAATTATAAAATGTACTTACATGTCTAGAAAAGCTATAAAAAGGGAGAATTTCTTTTGTCAAATGGGATATAGCTTACTTCTCTACATACTGAAAAGATTCTTTAAGATTAATTCTCTTTGAGATATAAACCATATACTTATTATTTATACTCTTTTTATTATATACCATCACAAATCCTTATGAGACAGATTTTTTTTTCCAATTCTAATAATAGACATTTTTAGAAGGTATGTTTTACTTTATGAAAAATAATAGTTGGTAACAGACATAGAGTTACCGGTATGTAAGTGTGGACATTTAAGAACTATGTTGTCTATATCAGACAAAGAGTAAGCTGAAAGTAATTTTATTGTTGTAGAATGATTGATTTTATCGGTGCCTCAGGACCAGAGAAGACAGGGGGAACCGTCTTCTTCTCCTTCCAGTTTTACAGGAACCAGCAAGTCACAACTGAAAGGTAACAAGCCACTCTATGATTGGTTAAATAGTAGTTTTGTTGTTTGTGCAAACAGTACTTCTTTAGAAATATAAGTGTTTGATATTGATTTGGTCTAAGAGGTTCACTGGCTGTTAACCTTAAACACTCTTTTCATAATTAGCCCCTTGTAAAGGTCATTAGGTCTTTAGAATTTAATAAGGGTAAATTTGTTGAATTTTATGGAAAAAAAATATTTATAGACTAAGCATGGCAACATGTAAATGTTAAATCAGGTACTTTATCAAACATACAAGTATTGGTTAACAAAGTTGATAATCAAGTACCCTTTAGGAAAAGAAATATTACTTCATTTTTCCATAGTAAATATGATTATAATGAAATAAGACAATAAAAAAATGTATTAACACATGTAATAACATTTGAATTTAACACAGTGCTATAGGGTAAATTTATGACGTCTTAAGTACTTTCAGTTCATAGTTGTTCATAGTTGTTCATAGTTACTTCCGCTCTCAAGTTTCTGTAATGTACTAGTCCAACCAATGTCTCGAAAGTGTGTGTCATTCATATAGGTGATAACAGCTCAAAATAGTATAACACTGGGTAAAAATGTACCTGTATACATTCTTGTCCACCTGCAGAAAAAAATGGGCATCATAACTGAGCTCTAAGCTTATGGGACAGTTTATATCTGGACTATTCAAAGAATGGGAGAGCTATTGTACTCAACCAGAAGTTGAAGTTACATCCAAAACTACTGAAGGAAAAGGAATGAAACTTATTATATTTATTGGAGAGCATAATAGGAGTTCACTTTTCAAGGCCCATAACTCTAACATGGATTTTGATGGATTATGGCCCTATTTGAAATGAGAAAATTCTACATTATCCAGGCTCTTGTTTTACTATCAAGCATTGAGAATAGACAAGCATGCTGCCCTACTAACAGTACTGTCTGTCACTGTTAATAATATTTCTTTCAGTTTACTAGTATTTACATATAGTTATGGGGGCGTCCGTGGCCAAGTGGTAAAGATTGTTGACTTCAAACCACTTGCCCTTCACCCCTGTGGGTTCAAATCCTGACAGGGACTTTGAATTCTATCATGTAAGGAAACTATCCAGCTAGCTTACAGAACGTCAGTGTTGGTGTGACGTAAAACCCAATAAAACGAACAAACATATAGTTACAAGTTAGTGATGTAAAATATTTTCAGGTTATTGCTGTCTAAGCCTCAGAATGACCTGTCCTCAGATGTTCATGCTATGCCATACATTCTCCAAAAACTTGATAAAGATGGAACATTACTGAAGGGACCACCAGGGTTGGAGGTAAGCCATACATGGACCTGTTGTTATATATATGTTACGATCTTTCTCTTTTCTTTAGTTTTTACGAATTTATTTTAGCTTCATTGTGTTGGGAGCTGTAAGCTTATTGAAATATTCTTGAAACCGTTCAGGAACTAACCAGTACTAAGCAATGAGTGTAAAGTTTCTTGCTCACAGACATAACAGCTTGCCCCTGACAGGGTTCAAACCCACACTGCCAGCAATCTTTAGATTACAAGTCTGACACATCATCTACTCCTCTATGCCACGATTCTTCTCATTTCTTTGTTGCCTTCCCTAAAATGTAATTAGTGATCATGATACATTGTACTTGAAAACCTGAAAATATTTTGAGAAAACTAATTTACTGAAAAATGCTCTCTTTTGGTGTCTAGTTTTGTAAAAGTGAATTCGTTCTTCTGTTATATGTGTTTTTGAAAAATTCTTTGCAGAAGCAAGTTAGTGCCAGTATTATTACCTGAAACACCAAGATTCTTTCATCAAACATTCATATGAACACTCAAAACTAAATTAACAAATATTACATAATATATATTTAGTATTTGACCTTTGATATTCCAGATCCGTTATTTTATGGATCCAGCATTTATGAAGCCTGGTGAAACACAGCTGTTTTTACAACATTTATCACAACAGACGATGTATATAGATGTATGGGACGGAGATTCTCTCTTACCCCTGGGCAGTACTGCAGTAGACTTGAAGGTAATATTAGAAATAAAAGTCTTATTGTGTCCGTCAAAGCGTTTATGAGTTTATATCCCATCTAGATCACTAAATTCTTTGATTCAAGTCCTGGCCTGCTGGCAGCTACGGATGTTACCAGCGCGGATCAAGATGTGTGCTGTTCTGTCAGCACATACATGTATTTTGAAATTTTTGCTAAAAGTGATGAATAGTTTTGTCAGACAAGCCAATTTAAGATATTCAGTGTTGTAAATGTTTAGGAAGCTGTTTAAGCTACCATATGGTAATTGTATTCGTTCTCTCCTGCCAGAAATGAGGTATGGAGAGGAATTTTTAGCTCACCTGTCACAAAGTTACGTGAGCTTTTGTGATCGCTTTTTGTCCGGCGTCTGTCCGTCCGGCGTCGATCCATACAAACCCAGAGGTTCTTGTGTGACTTGGAGAACAATGGGTAACAGTAAATTCTCTTTGATCCTATTCATTCCGTTTTTACTTGTGTGTCTTTTTTAAGCCTTGTGTGACTAAAAATGGCTTAAAAGATCAAAGGAAAAGTCACATAAGTACCATTTCATAAGTACGTCCGTCTGTCCGTCCGTAAACTTTTACTTTAAACAACATCTCATAAACGGCTATACCAATTTTTCATCCAAACTTTACAGGAATGTTCCCTTGGTAGTGAACTTTTTCAAAGAATTTAATTCCATGCAGAACTCTGGTTGCCATGGCAACCAAAAGAGAAAACTTAAAAAATCTTCTTTAAAAAAAAACAGAAAGAGCTACAGCCAAATAATGCCCCAAGGGTCATTGTTTTCCCTATATATGTATATAATGAAAATTTTAAAAAACCCAAATAGCTAGAGTTTAGATATTTAGCTTGAAACATCTTCTAGTGGGTGTCTACCAAGTGTATTCAAATAAAAGCCTTAGGGTCAAAATTGGCCCCACCCAGGGGGTCATTATTTTTTCCTTTTATTTATATAGTAAAAACTTTTAAAAAATCTTTTCTTAAAAACCCACAGAGCTAGAGCTAAAATATTCAGCATGAAACATCTTCTAATGGGTGTCTTCCAAGATTGTACAGAAAAGAGCCCTGGGGTTAAAATTGGCCCCGCCCCGGGTGTCATTGATTTTCCTTATGTGTATAGTAAAAACTGAAAAAATCTTCTTTTAAAAACCCAAAGAGCTAGAGTTTAGATACCATGCATGAAATATCTTCTACTGAGTGTGTACCAAGTTTGAAATGAAATCCCTGGGGTCAAAATTGGTCCGGCTCGGGAGGGGGTGGGGGTTCTTATATGTGTATAGTAAAAACTTGAAAAAAATCTTTTTAAAATCTGCTAGAGTTTAGATATTTATCATGAAACGTCTTCTAATGGGTGTCTACCAAAATTCAAATAAAAGCCCTTGGGTTAAAATTGGCCCTACCCCAATGGCCTTTATGCGGGTGAATGATTTCAGGGCCATCATGGCCCTCTTGTTATCTTAAAACAGCCCTAGTGACACATCGAATAGCATTTGTCCAATGTTAAATGAAGATCTTTTGTATGTTTGATGTATTCAACCAAATATATTGTATGTTCAATAAATCTTATTTGATACATAATACGCAATATGTGAGCCGCATCATGACAAAACCAACATAATGGGTTTGCGACCAGCATGGATTCAGACCAGTCAGTTTCTTAACTTGTTATAGGGTTTGTAAGCAAACAGCATGGATCCTGATCAGACAGCACGGGTGCGCAGGCTGGTCTGAATCATGCTGGCCGCAAGCCTATTATGTGGGTTTTGTCATGGGGCGGCTCATACTATTTGCATAATTTTACATTTCAGTATTTATGCAGAACTGGTATGGAGGCTGTTCAGACAACATTTGAGCTGGACGTCATCTCAACAGAGTATCAAGAAGATCCAAACCTTGCTCATGGTGAGGCAGGAGCTGGTGGGGTCAGGCCCGCCAATGTCCAATCTGTGGTCAGAGGCAAACTTCATCTTAGACTGGCAAATATTGGTCACCCAACTGACCCTAAAAGCACTCACACAGGTATTTACTATTACAATACATACTCGGCTATAAGTCTGTGAAACATGGGTATTGATATTGTTTGTAATGGTACCCTGAGACTTATAACCGCGTACTAGAATATTTATTTGAATTTAAAAGAACTTTACATCCTTCAGAATAAAATGACTGGATTTACAGATAAAGTAGTTTCATACTTAAACATTCTTGTCATGAAAAGAAAGATTACTGTTTGTCTATAGAGGATATTATGTATTCCAGGAATGCCTACATTACCCACATTCACGATGGACCCACATGGTAAAATATATAGTTGCCCCTCTAAACTAGCATTTTCACAATTCTGTGTTGTATTATAAACTCATGAGTGCAATCAAACAATCACCTTTTGACACACAGTACACATGTTGTCCTTGATATACATGTGTCCATCTATTGGGTAGTATCCTGTGGGTTTGATATACAGTTACCAGGCAGAGCACATGATCAGTTGTGATTTTGTGAAGACAAGAATGATGGTGGGGTTAGAGGATTTTACTTAAATTTCTCTGGCAATTTGAACAATTTTATTGTCATTAGCAGAGCATCCGGAGTTTGAAACCTTTTACTCCTCGTACGTTGTGCACCTTGTTCATGTGTCTTTAAATAAGAACAATTTGAAAAAAAATTATTTATCCTCCGCTGCTTTTTCAAGTGAAGAATATGAGGAGTTGTTAAGAAATTTTATAGATATACTATGCTATTCCTTGAGTAAAATAGTTCATTTACAGAAATTTATTGAAATCTATGAAATTCTTACTGAATTTTGGATTTGTCTAATTTGAATAAAGGAATGAATGAAGTATTTAGGGGAAGCTGCAGGTCAAGTAAAGTTGGTATTTTCTTTTAAAAAACTGCCAGTTTTTTTTATTGGCATTTAATGTGCATATTGTGACTACCTTTACTCAACTTCATTAATTCATGATAAGTGACCCATAGAGGACTTGTGTGGCATGTTAAATTACATTTCATAGTTTAAAATACAACACAAAAATTAAATGTTGTTGCAGAAGCTGTTGTAAATATTCTAGATTAAATAGATTAAATATATTCTAGAATATTCTTCACATATAGAACATTGATAGTATTGATTCTATATTCTAGAATCTCCAGTAAATCTAGATCTCAGTTTTAGCAATCTTTAGAATGGTGTCAGAATTATTATTCTATAGAAAGCCTATAATATTAAGATTTCTGTGTTTAGTACATATACATGTAAAATAGAAATTCTATTTTCTAGACATAAAATAGATATTTTACATGTATATTCTAGAATGCTGAATGTGATTCTACATTCTAGATAGTTAATGTAGATAGATTAGAGCAGTTTTTAATTAGATACAACAATCAAAACAACAACTACAACAACTAAATACTAACTGAAAAAATATCTTTTAACAGGAGATCAGTTTAATATCAACAATCTTTTGTTTCAGTACTTCTATCGTCCTTTTAACACTATGATTTCATTCAACTCCTTTCTTTTCCCTGTTTAACACCTGTCTGATGAAAGTATTTTCTGAACTAATATAATACATAATGTACACTGTATATGAAACAGAGCTTTAATATATGCTTGTTTACTGTCAAAAGAACAGACAAATATTCTAATTGTTACCATGGTAAAGTAAAGGGGCATGCCTCCCCAACTTGATTAATTGATATTCATGAAATTTTCATCAAGTGGTGCATACATTATTCTCAAACTTCATGTATAAAAACAGTATTTTTTACACACTAATGAAATTACTTATTATAGGGTGTATGTGGCCCCAAAGTGACTTCAAGTCACACCTAAAGTCTTCCTCCACCAGGAAAACTGGAAAGTCGCCATATGACCTATATTGTGTTTGTGCAGCTCATCCCTCCTGCACCTTGCCCTTAAAGATGATATAATTGAAAATTAAGTAATTCACCCTTTTTTAGTGGCAAGTTCCCTGAAGTTACTTAAAAGGTTTCTAAAGTTTCTCCTTGGTTAAAAAAAAATTGATTTCTGAGTTAGGAAATTAAATTGATGTGTTTTACTTTAGGCTGCTAGAAAGTTTGAAAAGATATATAGAGTTGAATCACATATAATGCATGTGCTATTGTCTTTAAAAATGGTTAGTACTGTCTCAGGTTCATTACATGAATATTGTTTGTTGGCACTCTGCCAATAATTTCGTGTAATGTCTGGTAGATGAAGAAAATTGATCTTGACCTTGCTTATTATAGAAAATGGTCAATAAAATAAACATAAAGTATGAAATCTAAGACAGAACTAACCTTTATATATATGTGTGTGTCTGTACGTCTTTTGTTGTTTTACTGTCGTAGATCCTTGTATAATTTGTAGTTTATTCATTTCTCTCTACATTTCAGCATATATTAGCCTTCCGAGTAAAAGTTTTCAGATAGTCTCTCAGACGGCCAGTAACTCCGCCTTCGGGGGCGGGAGTCTGATTGCAGGCGGAGTTGAAACTACTCATGGTAAATGAATGATTTTGCGGCAGATGTGAATTGAGAGCTTGGCATTGTTGCTTTTTAAAAGTTTTTCTTTAAATCTGTTTTAATGTGTGATAATTGTGACTTGTCAGTAATTCTTTTTAACTCCCTTTGCCATATAAATGATGAAGTAACACTTACCATGCTTAATGCTTATTGGATGGACTTGTCTATCTTGTAGGTCAGTCATTTTTTTTATAAAATTTTGCCTGTCTTTTATTGATTATGTATACAAAATAGTTTATTTTTATCAAATTCCGCATTTTGATGTGTTTAATTTAATATTTGGCATAATCACATAAATAAGTGTTCTTATCACATAAACCACAGGGCAGGAGTGTTTTTTATAAAGCAGTTTAATAAAAAACAATGTTACACTAGTGTTATGTAGTCGTTTATGTTATATAAACATAGTGTAAAAGGACATATGATAGTGTTACACTATAAGCTCGTCATTGAAAAATGGCTCATTTGACTGTAATAAATTGTTCTTATTTTGGATAGGAGATGGAGTATTATACATGTATTTGTGTAGATTCAATACAAAATTTATTGAACTAGTTGAATAGAAGAATATTATAATTTTATCCAACTTGTTTAATGAATTTAGTATTAAATATTCATATTCTCATTCAATATCTTCTCTTTTTATGGCATGTGGATGTAGTTTAAACTTACTGCACTGGTGTTGGGTAGCTTAGTGCACTTATTTAGTTGGGAATTGTTTTGTTTCAGTTACCTCCCTTTGTGATTGTGTTTAAGTTACTTCCCTTTGTATTTGTTTGTATTTGTTTTGACAGTGTTTTTTCTTTGAGTGTGTTACATGTTCATAAAATATAGGAAAAATGTGGGGGGAAAAAAACACACACACAAAACACTAGCTGGAATATTAAAAAATATATTTAGGATTATTGACTGATTTTTTTTCTATCCCTTTTAGCTCAGGTTAAAGGGCATAAAATATGTCAATTGGGAAAGAAAAGAGCAGCATAAACGGCAAAATTATGCACTTTATAATAAAAACTAATATTTTTGCACTTTATAATAAAAACTAATATTTTGAGTCTATTTTTGAAAAATAGGCATTTTCTGGCATTGGTAACTGGTTGATTTACCAGACCAAGCTAAAGATAGGCAAAAAGCCCACAGTACTTGTAATTGGAAACAAACATTTCCTTCAATTTTGTGTCTCTCTCTAGATAACCTAGTGATCTACTAACCTTTTAACCTTTAAAGATAGCCAAATTTGATGATGAAAGACTTTAGACCCCTATATAATATATGGAAGGGTTCAAATAAGTAGAATTTGTTCAATGAAACTTTTATATAAGTTTAGTCTTTTTTGTAAGGAAAGACAGTCAATCTTTTTAATAAATATTCTTTTGTTAACCAGAATACTTTTGATTAAATATATTCTGTTTCATGTAAGAAACACTTTGATTAACCTGTGTCAAGCTAGAAACACTTAGAGTAATAACCTTTTGTAGGAAAGAAACACTTTTTATTAATCTAATTCATGCAAGTAAAAACATTTATTACTCTGTTTAAGGCAATAAACACTTCCATTATGACCTTTTTCTTTCAATTAACACTTTTAATACTGTTTTTACTTATCTTTAGGAGTTCCGATTAAAAAACGTGTGGCACGTGCCCACCATGTAGCTGAAAATAATCGGGATGTGGCGTCGCTTTTGTTCTCAAAACGAGAAGAGTTGGAGCAAGTAACAGAGTCTAATAGAGAAGCTGACTCAGAGCGGCAACGTAAACTAGCTAGAATGGCAGCATTGAGGAACTTAGATGGTGGAATTGAAAAACCTCAGACACTTATGGTATGTGTTCAAAATAGGGGTGTCAAGTTTATCCATTTACCTAAAAACGAGACCAACAGATGAAGAATATTATAAATTGGTTTTTAACATTACTTTTATTTCTTTATGACAAGATATGACATTTTCTTTGTATATTAAATGTATTTAATTCTGATTGCATGCTATCTCAATGTGTACTGTACAGTGTGATCCTAACACACGGCAGTTACTCCACGACGGAAAGCTCTTGTGTCCACTAACTGTTGTATTACACATGATAAAATTTTACAGGCTCACAAACAGATTAAGACAGAGAGAGCCAGAGACCTGAAGACACTGGAGATATATCGTATGCAGACAAAGAAAGACGGCATCGAGGCAATGTTGAGTCAATCTATCACAACAGAGCATACTATTCATCCATCATTCGGTACATCGGAGTTCTTCGAGTTTGTTCTACGCAACCCATTCAATGTGGAGCATACTGTGAAAATAGAGTGGGAGACCAAGAACTTACAGTAAGTGTTTCTGTAACTGTTGGTGTAATATATATCTGTTGTTTGTATTAACCATTGACATCTCTGCTTACGAGAATGGTGAAAGTTGGTGAGCGGGTCGGTGTCTAGGCAAGCATCAGCAATCATATCTATTTGCAACAACTACATTTCTCAAAGGCATTTGTTATTGGCAGTATGGTCAAGTAGTTGATCTAAGGATTGACATGTAGGCTAATAGTAGGATATTAAATGTGATATGAAATTTTTTGACACACTTTGGCTTACCGGTATATATAATATTGGAAGAAAACTAAAGTTTAATCACTTGTTTCAAGCTGATTTGTTCTGGTATGGCAGTATTTACATAGTTATTTATAAATCTGTGCGAAAAAAGACAAATTGTTGCATCTGTGAAGAGCCAAGTTTGCATTTATGCCATTAAAAGATGGCTGTGTCACTTTGTTTATAGCCAAATTTGCAAACACGTTTTTAAAAGATGGGCTGCCTGTCTATGATTTTCAGCTCTTTATTGCAGGAGGATAAAACTTGTTTGCTCCTGTTGCATAATAGTAACATGTACAAAATTATTGACCTCATTCTTACTTTTGATGAAACAATGATTTATACAAGGATGAGGCTTGAAATACAAAAATAAAGTTAAAATTGTACCTTTAATAAATGATATCTAAGTTAAATCATTATAACATATTTGTATACATATATATTAAAAGTTTGTTGTTGTTATTTAAGTTGTGTGACAGATACTAGAGAGTGGCGTTACTTCAAGCAGTTATATCAGATACAGTCGTCCATGGAAGAAGGCATGTTCACCAGCGAGACTAAAGCTCACTATCCGGAGGTCTTCCTACGACCCAAAGAAACCGTCAACATTCCGTTCAAATACCTTTCTTTCCTGGCTGATCAGTCTGCTAAACCTCAGGTACAAATTTAAACTGAACTCAAGTGAGGGATTTATATGACATGACGAAACTGGGTCAGAGGTTACAAAGAAATTTTCATTGCTCATACTCAGATCTCAGGCATTTGATTGGTATAAAATTGCCCCTGATTGTACACTAACCAATGAAAATCATGAGATTTGAGACGGAACTCAGAAATAAAAGTTTGATAACCTTGAGGCCAGGGCCTAAGGTTATAAAGAAATTTTTTGAGGTCAAACTACAATCTCAAGTATATGATAAGTCAGAAACTGACACAAAATGTTCATTGACCAATGAAAATCCCTAGATTTGAGACAGAACTCAAAAAGAAAGTTTTATAACCTCCAGGCCAGGACTCTTAATGACCTTCAAATTATCAAAATGTAGGACATTTCACTAACAGTGTTGGTTAATGACAGTTAAATTATCGATGCTTAAGTGTTTAAGTGGCACAGCTTATATGTTAGTAATAATAGACTCAAAATTAAACCTTGTTATCAATAATAATAGACTTTAAATTATACCTAGTTATCTATTTATTTCAGGGGCCTGTTGATCCATTTAGACAGACGATGAAAACAAGTAAAAGTAATCACACTGATTACTTGAAACCAAAAACAATAAAGGTAAGTGTTTAGATTATTTTGTTATTTGTTTATTGAAATTAAAAAGTTAAATGTTCAACTCTTATTGCATTTCATTATTTTGGGAGTTTAACATAATTATTTGATTAATGTCAGATAGACTGTGAACACTACTAGTATGGATGATATTATCAACCAATTATCTCAGTATGGAGATAGTTAACATGGGTTATGGTCAGCTAATTGGCATGAAAAAAGATAGTCATTTTGCCTATAGACAATTTTTTTGCATTGGTTACAGCAACTTAGCTTAGAGAAGAAGTTTACATTAGTTACAGCCTCTTACCTTAGAAATTTTTTTTTTTCATTGGTAACAGCCACTTGGCTTAGAAAAAAGCAATTCATTCATAAAAGGCACACGGCAATGATGTCACTTAAAAGACGCGACTTGACTTACATGGGGGTGTTAGAGTTTTCTAGCACCAGTGTAAATGGTAGATAATCCTGTCTGATATGCAAGAAACTCCTGTCTGATATGCAAGAAAAACTTATATATTATAATAATATATTTATTTACAGGTATATTTTAATAGTGACGATGGGAAGCCATTGGCTATATTATTACTAAAGATTGAGCCACAGCCACATGTGATTGACCAAACATTCAGATTCCAAAGTCCCGAACAAACGTTCCTAAAGAAATCAATCAGGTTGCCACCTTTGGATAGTCTGCCAGGTAACAAAAGGGTTTTGTAGTTAGACTTTTTTCAAAGAAAAGTGGGTCATATCTCATCCTGATAGTTATGGCACACAAACTTGAAATTCTATAAAATTACCAATGTTAATGATAATACACCTTATACAGTATAAATAAACATTATACTATATAGGGGGTATATTTTGGATATTATCATTAATATTGATAGAATTTCAAGCTCTTGTGTGATTAATAAACCTGCATTTTCTTAGTTCTGTAAGCACTATTTATAAAACTTCAGTCATGATTTTAGGATAGTATTTATTAGACACTTGTTTTACCCCTTTGTGGTCTTAAATATACCTGAGTTTTGCTAGTTCTATTTTCCAAAACTACAGAAGTTTTGTACTTGAAACATCTAAAATGTCCTTGCAGGTACACATATAGATCATTAGTTGAGACCCATAGCTCTGAAATTAACTGCAATTTATCCTTTTTTGAACCTACTAAATTCTTGAATAGCCTGTGCATGAAAAATATGTGAGCTCTAACAGTACAACAAGTTTTCTTTCTATTCAGTTAACTTTATGCTTTTGAAGAATAATGCAAAAACTGCATTAAATTCATCCAATTCTAGTTTGTATCAACCTACCAGCCCTAAAGTTTAAGGTCACATACAAGAGATTGAAAATCTTTTCAATTTACTGCCTAATCATTATTGTTTGTAGAGCACTAATGTTTGTGGTATTTATTGATAGGTTAGTCTGGGAAGTTCCAATGAAATTTAATTTTGTCTGGTGTGAGATTATTTTTGCCGTACATTGTTTGTACATTGTCTTTTTTTTGCAAAAAAAAACAACAGGCTATCCTTAAATTAAAAAAAAACAACAACAACAATTACGTCCTTTCTGACAGAACTGCAAAATTTTATGCCAACAAACTGAAGTGAATTCATGGTAACTTTTAAGAGGTATATTATCAAACTCTCATCGCCCAATTTGTTATTGTTCAGTTGTTTTAGTTATACAAATTCATTTTAGTTTGATTGCGTTGGAAACTATGGAAACATTCTCAAATCCATTCCTGGAACCTACCTGTACTAAGCAATGAATGTTAAGTTTCTTGCCAAAGGAAACAACGGCTTGCCCCTGACAGGGTTTGAATCTATGTGGTCAGCAATCCTTAAATTACTAGTCTGATGCGTTACCCACTCGGCCTGGCCGCCACTCTGTGTTCAATAGTTTTACCACGGGGCCTTACATTAATAAATGTTTTTACCTATGGATATATAATTACAGGAGCACCTGTTGGTAGTGGTAATGTTGTACATACAGTAGCTAGATGTAGCGACCCAAATATTATCTGTGATACCAAAACAACTCAACCTGGTGAACCTCAAGATGTCTTCATCAAGGTATTTTGTTATTCTTATTTGTACTTACAGATAAATCAGTTTAATTCAAAAATGGGGGTAGGTTTTAAATGGTACAGAACCATAATTATGTAGGTTATCCAAAAATTTGCAAAATAATTGTTTTGTAACAAGATTATATAAGAATAAGATAACATGCTCAAAATCAGGTCTTATACCACACAAATAATACTATAAATAATACATAATAAATTCAATTTTTTGGTCCAAAAAAAGGTTAAGAGTTAGGATTATTTGATGATTGATCTGCAATTCAGGGATCTAAAGTCTTTTAGGAAAAAATGGCACACAATTTTATGCAATGGACAGGGATTTATAACACTTGCAGCAACAGAGTCTACCCATGCAACCAGTGCAAGATCAAGATTGGTATATATTTTGAAAATTTCCCTAAAGAACTGACAAATGAGAGTTAATAAAACAATAATAAAATGCAAGCTGGACGCTAAAATATGTTGATATATATAGCATGTTATATAATTTTGATTCAGGTTCCCCTTGGAGCGTCTCCTCAGATTAAGAGATTTTTCATGGCAGTGTACCTTGATCCATTTATGGCAAGACCGATACAGATCTGGCAGTTTTATGTACACGCACTACAGCGAGTGGACGTGTCTGCCGTAGAGGGACAGACCAGCAGGTTCTCACTGTTGCTAAGGTACGCATTTATAACTAACAAGTCTGTTACTGCATGTATACATTCTGACTTTTTCAATATGATAAAGTGTTTTAAAAGTTTCATCAAAAATCTTGTGCAATTTTTGACTTACTTTTGTGTTTAGCTTTGTGAAAACGATTTTTCTGCATTTGATAAGTCTTGTCCAAAAATCTAAATTGGATAATGTTTTCTATTACAGGGGTACGCAGGCATCAAGACTGGTGAAGTGTTTCTCGTCACATCCTGATGAAATGACACTTTACCCTACAGAGCAGTTTATGTTGGCGGCAGGTGCTGTACACGAGCTCAACGTTGCCGTGCGACCAATGCAGGAGGGCAGCAAATTCTTCTACATCAATGTCGTTGATGTCGAATTTCATCAGTTAGTGCGCACATGGCTTATCTGTGTCAGCTCACGTGCACCGATGATCTCACGCGCATTTGAACTTATTTTGCCAGTAGGCGGCGGGAAAGGATGCAGTAAGAAAATATCGTACACAAATCCTTACCCTCACAAAAAGACATTTCTCCTTCACTCTAATCGAGAAGATCTGCTTCAGTTTAAAGAATCTACAATGGAGATTGATGGAGGCGGTTCAGCAACTATCGGACTCCGGTTTGTCCCTATCCAGCAAGCAGGAACTGCTGAAATTCTCGTGTTTATAAATGATGATGAAGATAAAAATGAGGAAACATTTAGAGTCTCCGCTGTGTATCAGAGAATGTAGATATGATATTAGATATTTTATAATTTAGACAAACAAATAAAAAGGATATTTGTTACCAGTCTACAATCTCAGGTTACTGATTGGTCGATGTAAGTTTCAAGTTTGAAATCAACCAATGAAATGGCCGCACTGTTAGACTGGTATTAAAAAGAAAAATGTGCTTAATATTATATAAATGCCTTATAGAACTTTACATATTATACCAATATTGGGTAAAGTTGAATGACTGAAGTTAATATTGTGAAAAACTTATGATTGAATTTATTGCATTTCATTTTACACATGAGAAAGGCTCATATTATTTGTTGATGAATTCAGATCTGATACATCGTGTAGATATGTTTGTATTGTATAGTTACAGTGAAGAATGTATTTATTTGGCAGCAAACATAAAAACTATATGTGAATATTTAAATTTATTATACATATATATGTATTGTACCTTGCCAAGAAACACCTATGTGCTTTACTACCTAATCATATCATGTTGTCCGTCCATTGTTTACACTAAAAGGTTTTTAGTCATTTTGTGGCTTTAATATAAGTTGCTTTGTTATAAAAACAGCACAAGAGTTCAGTACAGTTCTTTGGTCTCAAAATAATGACAGTTATGAGATTTTTTCCCAATGTACCCTCCATTATTATACTATGATGTCTACCTTTACTCTATATATTATGAACTGCTCAATGATATCAAAAACCTTTACGTTATAATGAAAAATTTCAAATAGTCATTAAAGAAGGAAGTGGTATCATTAAAGAGGGAAGTGGTATCATCTAAGAGGGAAGTGGTATCATGTTAGAGGGAAGTGGTATCATTTAAGAGGGAAGTGGTATCATTTTAGAGGGAAATGGTATCATTTAAGATGGAAGTGGTTAATTAAAGAGGGAAGTGGCATCATTAAAGAGGGGAGGGGGAGAGGTGTCATGAAAGAGGGAAGTGGTTTCATTAAAGAGGGAAGTGGTTTCATTAAAGAGGGAAGTGGTATCAAGACATACTAATCTCAAAAAACAGACTTGTAGTTTACTACAATAAATCTTGTATATTTTTTAACTTGAAGACTGTGATACTTTTTAAAAAATATTTTAATCTTGCTTTTTATCATACTTTTAGACTTTGTCTCATTTTTCTTTTACATGTGAAACTTCTTTTGTGTCAGTTACATTAGAGATATAATGTGTTGTGATGTATCGTGTCAGTATGTAAAGATATGTTTATTTATTGGAGTGATAGTAAAATTTGTACACATTTAGATGCCAAACATAGCTATATGAATAAATATAAAAAGTATAAATACTATTTTATATGTTGTTTTCAATTAAGTCTGCAACCATTGAACTCAGTTGGTGAATATGGTGGTTAAAGAGGCAGATTTTGAATCCCGTACATTTTAATGAATTTTTAGAGAGCATATAGTCGCCGCTTTGACGGTATGTCAAAGAGGTATCAACAAGAAACTTAGTTGGTAGATAGATCTCATAAAATAGAAGTGCATTGGATAAAACCATAACATTACCTTGCCTACTTTTGGGAGTAATGCCCAATTTTCATCTTTGTCGAGCCCGCTTGCGTTGAGCTTGACTAGTCCCCACTTTTAATGTATAGTTTGGTATAGGTGCGTCTGTCCATCCAGATTTGTCTGGTTTATATCTTGCTCATTCATTGAGGATTACAAAATAAATTGGTACAGGTGTTCACCATGACCCAGGTCAAAGTTTAAATAGAAAAATCAAAATTTTTCCACACTGCATCATGCTAATGCTTTGAAATAAGCTTATTATTCAGAGGCTTTTTATCAAGCCTGATAAATGCTCTGAGCTGGACATTGTTGTCAAAATGGCTCTTCAGTGTGTGTGAGTGCATTCAAATTGTCCCTGTTATAACTTCATTTGAAGAATTTTCAAATAACATGAATCTAGTTAATCGAGGCATAAAATGTTCTTCATGAGACTTGTGAAATGCACTTGAACTAGGTGACCTGGTCAGAGGTCAAGGTCACCTAAGATGGATGTAATGTCAAGATTTTTCCTTGGGTTTAAAGAGGTTGAGTCATGCAAATCTCACCTGTGTATACATCTTTCTCCATTGATCTGAAGCTTATAGGTTCAGGTTTGAATTGACAAGCGGGCTAATGACATTCTACCCATTTGCATGTCTAATTGTTACACTTTGAACTTCGTCTGGGACATAAGTCTTAAACTACTAGAGATATCAACAAGAAACTACTTCTCTGTGTCCAAAACCTATTCAGGGAGCATCACCTGGTTCAACCAGCTCTTGTTTTTTTCAATGCACAATCGTAGATTTTGGTAGGTCACAGATTCTGTTATGGTATTAAAGTATTGTCTGAAATTCTTTTACAAATTACTAGAGTACAATATGAAAAACTGCAGAAAAATAGCAAAATCCCTGTCAGACAGTCCATTTTTAGCTTGACTGTATAAAGAATAACGACTCACCCAGACGTCGGCATTAGCGTCACACTTTAGTAAGGTTCTTGAGTGAAATTTGGTATCTTTAAAACTAGTGAAGGGAATGTGTTGAAATGTTTACACTTCTACTTGAGAGCATAATGGAGGTCACTGTCTAAGGCCCATCACTCTTACATGGACAGACATTTCAAGGGGCATCATTGATCTTGTATATCATTGGGATTTTTTTTAATGCAGCACTCAAACAATTTGTTCATCAAGATTTTTTCTTTTTTAAAATAAAAAGGAAGCATAAAATTATGGAAGCCAATGTCTAAGTCCCATCACTCTTACATAGACAGATATTTCAAGGGATGTATAATTGATCTTGTATATCTTTGGGATTTTTTTTAATGCAACACACAAACAATTTCAAGATTTTCTTATCAATCAGAAAGCATACAATTGTTTTCCAATATTTTATTTGAATTTCTTAAATTCTAAAACAAATATCACAGAATTTTAACAAAATGGAAATATTTTTAACTTGTAAAAGTAGAATTATATACCAAAATGTAAAATAAATACAAATGGTTTATTTTTGGTTTTGGTGGTAATGTATTATTATTTAAATTAAAATAAAAATTATCTAAAATCTGATAAACTATATTTAAAAAATGATCAATTATGAAAAATAAACTGAAACAATATGATTTGAACATCAAAAACAAAAGACGACGAAAAAACAACTGAAGTTTAACTTAAAAATTTGAACTTCAAGCCTTTTGTGCAAAATCTTAAATACTGTTAATATAATTTATACAATTAATATATTTAGGCATAATCAATATTGCAAGATTATATTAATACATGATGAAAATCTTCGAAACTACCTGTATTTGATAATGAAATGTTCGCACAGTATACAAAGTTAGCGTTAAAACTGCACTTTTGTCAGGTGTCATTTTTGTCATTTATATATATACACTGTAATGTTTAATTCCAGGGGTCATATGATCACTTTTTGTCTTTCTTTCCCTTTGATTTAACGTTTGTCGTAAGATCATATCTGAATCCTTCTTTCCGTGCCGCAGATTCACGTTTCTTTACTGTCTTCATAACTTTTCTCTGTAATTCATTTCTGGTCAAGGGTCGGGCATCGTCCTCACTACCTTCGGAACCGTCGCTTTCGTACTCGTCTCTGTAAATATACAACACAATGTTTTAATGATTTAAATTATAAAAGATATAAGTTATACAGTCAGTGATTTTTCTCACTTAATTGGGAAGAGGCCTTGGCAGCTTGATTTTGGGAAAAAATATCGCAAAAATTGCTAATTTGGGAAGTAAAAAAGTTCAGATTTTTGGGAAAACTGCACGATTTTAAAGAAAATTCCAATTGGGAAGAAACCTTTTATTGGAGTCTGTTATATAAGCAGGAAAATCACTGACAGTACTAAAATAACTAAATGAAAATGTGTTGATTAAGAAAATTAGTGACAATTTTAGCAATTGGCGTTAGCTTCCTGTGATTTAGTTTGATAATAATTCATAGACGGCATGATATATAAACTGTATTCAACTTATTTCATAAAAATAACATTCACCTTTTTAATTAACTTACCAAGCTCTTAGTCATTAAACTGCTTATTTTTTATTATAACAAAATATTGGATCAGCCCAGCAGTCATTTCCTTAATTGTCTATTATCATATTTGAGCCTGATCAGAATGCATGGACAAGTCAGACTGCATTAATGTGCAGGCTGGCCTGGCTTTATACTGGAGGCAAAGGGTGGTCGCTTTAAGTTCTACCAGGTTTGGGATTTGTACACAGAATTTAAAAAAAAAATAAACACATACATGTATTTATTGTAATGTTGACTTTTATCAGAAAAATGAATAAGTAGAAATGTCAATTAAATTGGTTTAAAATGGGCTTTTCGTTACATAAGATGAATTACCAACACCTAAATACCAGTTATGTGAACATTTATGATGTTATCTTTGTAATACAATATAGATTGTGCTCATGAATATCTGAGTTGAAGATTTCATTATGTATGTAAAACAAATACCAACAAAATAACAACTGATACAGAAATTACAGACAATAAATTTACATGTAGGTTATTTGAAGGTATCATTTAAATGGAAAAATAATGGGAAAAAAACAGTGTGTTGACAAACACTGTACAAGTATACAATTGTACAACATCATTCATACTACCTTGACTCCATATCACTTAATACACAATGTATATACAATAATATTTAAATGGTTAATTATGCGGAATAATAAATAAACAGAATAAATTACAATATAACTTTTCTTTTAGAGTAATGTATGATAAATTTTGATAATTTTGGAATATTTTTTTGTGAATAAAAATTCTTCAGTTTAGAGATTTTAAGTACCTTTAGTTGAGAGAGATTGGTTTAAGAAATCTGTAACTTTTACCAATTCCTCACTGTGAGAGGCCCCTAAATCCCAATTTCATCAGTCCCTGAACATGTGCATATATTCTGATACAATTTACCCATCATAATGTATGTAATAAGACTGCCTGTTATCTATGGGATATTGCAAAGTAAGTCTAAGTAAATGAGTCTGATCCAACGGCACAGATATGTAGTGGTCTTAACTTCTGATGAAATACTACAGCGTAGAATATTTCAAAAGATACATACCCGACTGAAGGTGGCATAATTGGGAATGAAGGTGCAGGTGCCGCAGGGCCCTCCCCTATCAAGCTGGTTCCCTTTTCATATCTGTCCATATCCTGTAATACAACAATCATATTAGATACAATGAAACAATTATTTTCAATGCATTTGCCTCTTTTATTGCATATTTAAAATTTCATCAAGATTTCAGCTTAAAATGATTTTTAAAAACCAAGAACAACAAATGACAAACTTCTTTCAAATTGCCTATATAGCTGAAATAAGATGTGAGACAGGCAAACAATATCTAGCTATGATTGTCTTCAATTAATCAAATTATAGGTAAAAACAATACTATCTTCCTCTATTAATGACATTATTATCTATCATGTTAAATTATCAATTAATGAGAGGAATTTTGGTATCTACATATTGAATTTACTGAGTATTAGCAGCAAGAAGTATCGAGTCTGGTAAAAAATATAGGCTGCTGGATTATAACTCTTTGCTCAGTAGTCTAGTCATCAAATGGCAATTTTAAGTAATTAAATCAAACAGAAACTAGTAATGTGTCCATAGGACAGATGTCTCCACAATCCACTGTTTTGTCAGTCTTAGCGGACAGAGAGCAGTATGCATGGACAAACAGTAAAGGGTCAAATCTTATACACCCAGCAAGAAGCGGGGGCATGAAATATGTAAAAACCTGATACATATATGATAAAAAAAACTTACCTTTGAACTGACATAGTTCTGTATGGCGAGTAATTCATTAGTTCTTTGTTCAATGATACCGAGGTACTGTATCATGTTGCCATCGGTAACACCTGACGCTGCACCCAACATATCGTCAATTGCTGAACGGTCACAGTTAATCTTGTTAAACAGCGACTCAATACCTGTAAATAGCAATCACTAATTATAATCATTTTAGCCCAGGTTTCTACATATTCACAAAATTAAAATATGATTATAATACATGTGAACTTTTTTTGATGATCAAGAGGAAGACTTTTCTTCCAGAAAAAGGGATATTTTAGAATTTGCAATAAATATAGAAGAAAGTTCTGACATCAAAAAGGGGGAGATATCTTTAATTTGTGAAAATACCCCTTATTTATTTTAAGAAAAATCTTTGAAAATACAACTGCAGAAAGTGGGAGTCTCCCGCTAAAAGTTGGAGAGTTCACATGTATGGATTATTTTGGCCATGGTGAATGCATAAAAAAAAACAACATTATATAGCCATTTGTAAAATAGTGCTTTTTGTAAAAGCAAAAGAATACTTACAGTTTTGGTAAAAATTTACAAACAAATAAAAGTTACATTACCAATCTTGCCATACCTTAAAAATTATGAAACATATGACCTGGCTCTTTCCACAATGTGTGTATGAGCTAGCCTATATTAAGCATGGTTCTTACCTCTTCGTAACTGGTCAATAATTTTGGAGATTTCTGTGTGTTTCTTTTCATATTCATCTGCTTCCTTAGAGGAATTTGATTGTTTATCTTCGAGTTCTTTCAATATTCTCTTACGCTGGTCCTCTAGCTCGATACCTTGTAACTGGAACTTGTCTATCTCATTTCTTATCTATTTAAAAAACAATAATTTACCATAAGATTTTCAATAAACGCACCGCTAATAATAAACAATAATATACCATAAGATTTTCAATAAACTCTTCTCTAATAAAAGACAATAAAATACCATAAGATTTTCAATAAACACCCCTCTAATTATAAACAATAATATACCATAAGATTTTCAATATACACCCCTCTAATAATAGACAATAATATACCGTAAGATTTTCAATAAACACCCCTCTAATAATAGACAATAATATACCGTAAGATTTTCAATAAACACCCCTCTAATAAATAAACAATAATATACTATAAGATTTTCAAAATAAACCCCGCTAATAATAAACAATAATATACTATAAGATTTTCAATAAACACCCCTCTAATAAATAAACAATAATATACCATAAGATTTTCAATATGCACCCGCTAATAATAAACAATAATATACCATAAAATTTTCAATAAACACCCCTCTAATAAATAAACAATAATATACCATAAAAATTTCAATAAACACCCCGCTAATAATAAACAATAATATACCATAAGATTTTCAATATGCACCCCGCTAATAATAAACAATAATATACCATAAGATTTTCAATAAACACCCCTCTAATAAATAAACAATAATATACCATAAAATTTTCAATAAACACCCCGCTAATAATAAACAATAATATACCATAAGATTTTCAATATGCACCCAGCTAATAATAAACAATAATATACCATAAGATTTTCAATAAACACCCCTCTAATAAATAAACAATAATATACCATAAGATTTTCAATATACACCCCTCTAATAATAAACAATAATATACCATAAGATTTTCAATAAACACCCCTCTAATAAATAAACAATAATATACTATAAGATTTTTAATAAATGCACATATCCATTTAATGTTACATAAAAAAGTTTCACCAATATATTGTGCTAAAATAAGGAAGTCAACACACTAAATAACTTGACATTAGAGGGCTCAAACAGAGAATGGGTTTTAACAGTACATGTATATTTTTATATTTAAATTAATATAAAAGAAAGTATTAACATGTGTTCATGACATAAATCATAAATAATGGCTGAATTTAAACATTTTTTGTGATCCCAGGACCACTTATTAGTGACAATACATTGCAAATATCAACAACTGTATAAAACTAGGGTGTTCCAAGGAACAGAACAATTTGATTAGCTTTGAACATCAACTTTGAACCAGTTTGAACCTGAGCATCATACATGGAACATTTCTAGTTTCATCAATTTTGAACCAGTTTAAACCAGAAAACATACAATGCAGATGACCTATAACCAACAAATGATACAAAACAACAGTCACAAAAGCTCATATTTAAGAAGCAGAAAAAGAACGTACCTCTTGTATTTCATCATTCAACATTTCAATCTCATTATTCTGTTCATTGACAAAGTTAAAAAGTGCAAAATTCTTGTCCTCCACCTCGATAAATCTGAAATGTTTGAAAAATTAAGCTATTAATATTTTTTATATTATAGCACCTAAGATCAAATGTTATATTTGAACATAATTCATTTGACTTACTTTAAAGAAATAGGTGTATAATAGATCAATACCGTATTGATCTATAATATATTTAAAGCATTAAAATCTAATTGTAAAGATAACTCTGAGTCTTAGAAAAAAAAAGAGTGGAACATGTATTTGAAGGTTCATGAATAATTTTTATCTATAATTGTTCCAAAAAAATTATGAAACCAATTCATTTTATCTCAGAAAAGTTTTCTCTAATAAAACAAGTCAATATCCCTTACAGTATATCAAGCTTAAGACACATAATTATAATTCTAAAAGCAACTTCAACCACTTTGACTCATCTAGTCACACCCCAGGGCCCTCCCACCTTAGTAACCTGACACTTCAAACATCAAACAAAAAAAGAGGAGGAAAAATGACTAATTAATTTACCTTCTAACAAGTTCATCGAGGTCCTCCAAGCCAGTCATTTCTTTAATTCTCTCAAATGCCATTTCAAATGTTTCCACCGAGTCTTCCTGGCTCTCCTTCTTACGCTCAGTCTCCAGGGCCTCTGTAAATACACACAAAACCCCTTTTTAAGTTGAAAGTTACAAATTTGTAGTAGATTTTCAGTTCTTTAACCAAGGTCATGGACATGAAGGTCATTTCGTTGATGATTATTGTCATTAAGATCACAGTCTTCAAAACCATTTAATTTTCACCTTAGTGCCATAACTAATTAATTGCTATTAAATTTAGAAGGACTTATCTTGTTATTGCACTAAGGCGACGATTATTTTATTTAATCTAATTTACTGTCATGTAACATGAAAATTTAAGCTCTAATGCCAAACTGGTCAAAGCTAATATTCATAGTAGATTTTCAGTTCTTACCAAGGTCATGGACATGATAGTTCACTAAAGGTTACCTTGTTACACACAATACCCGTTTTTTGAGCTTGAAAAGATTTCAAAATTTATCGTCAGATTTTCAGTTCTTAACTAAAGGTTATGGACATGAAGGTCTTTCCCTTGAAAGCCATAGTACTGATGGTTATAGTCATTAAGGTCACAGTCTTCAAAACCATTACATGTACCATGAAAATTAAAGCTCTATTGCCAAACAGGTCAAAGTTCTTTAGGTTACAATGTCACTGCCTTTAATGTAATTTTAATCCAGAAAGAACACTTATTTAATATTTTGATTGGTCAATGGCAAACATAAAGTAATTAAATGTTCTACACACTGATTATCTTATGTACTTAAAAAGGGGAGATAATAAAATAGATAATAAAATAGTATAGCGCATACCTTTACGCTGCCTCCAGATAACAAGCTGCGGGTCTTCCTGCCTTTCTTGACCTTTTATTCCCATGAATCCTCGGAGAGCTCGATCATGATCAATGACGCGTAACAGTTCCTTCATCTCAGCATTATGTTGTTGTAGATCCTTATCTGCCTTCTCCTTCAGTATGATCATCTTTTGCTGGGCATCATCACTGTGTTTTAAAAGTAAATTAACAATGTCAAAATAGATATAAACAATGCCAAAATAGATATGAACAATGTCAAAATAGATATAAACGATGTCAAAATAGATATAAACAATGTCAAATAGATATAAAGCATGTCAAAATAGATATAAACAATGTCAAGTTTGATACAAACAATGTCAAAATAGATAATAAAAAAAACATGTCCAAAAATATAAACAATGTCAAAATAGATATAAAACATGTAAAATAGATATAAACAATGTCAAAACAGATATAAACAACAACAGAATAGACATAAACAGTGTCAGAATAGATATAAACAATGTACATACCGAGCATCATATGCATGTGTGGAGTCCTCAATCAGTTGTCCCTTCTGTCTCCTAAGTGATGTGAGCTCCTTGTCAAGTTTTTTGTAGAGGCTGTCAAATCTCGTTCTCTCAACACGTAAGCTCTCAATCTCATCTCGCATTCGAGCGTTCTCCATCAAAATTGAGTTGAACTTCTTCTTTGCCTGTTTAAACAATATGCAATTTAAGTTAAATATTGACAGAACAGATAGATAAATGGTTAGCTCTCTCAGAATTTTAAAAACAAATTTGAGCAGACAACAAGGCCAGGTAGAAAAAAATATCTACCACAAATTAATGGAAGGGTGTAAGTTTAAACCTACAACAGAACAGAACAAATCCTTCAAAGTCAGCAACCTAAAGCAGAGTGCATATATGTTCCCAAAACATAGCTTAAGGTTGGTTCACCGTTTTTATACTATAGCATGACAACTACTAATAAAGCCGCATAAGACAAAAGAAAAATTTGTTAAAAAAGCGCCTTAGGGGCCTTATAATGTTTTGGAAGCTAAAACTACCCACAAAAAGTGTATATATCTTCACAAAAACAAAAAAAATTGAGAAAGATAAATACAAGATTAGGACTGAGCTGTATGCATTTCATTTTCAGGGGGAAGTAACTAGGTTCATTACAAATTTTACCAGCCTTAGTGAAGCCAGGGGAGACAATCAGATTCATTACAGGATTAACCCATAACTTCAGGGGAGATAATTTGATTTAATGCATATTATGCCAAGGGAACTAATAGATATGCATTGTCTGTTTATACCTGATCCAGTCTATTCTCTAAAGTTCTCATAGTTTTTTGTGTTTGTACAGTGTGCTGAGAGCTCATGTGGACACCACCCATGTTGCGATGCTGTTGTTTCACCTTCCTCTCCCACTCACGGATTTTAGCATCAAGCTCTGTTGCTTTTTTCTTCTCCTCATCTATATCAGTGCTGTAGTAATCTGAAACATAAAGAGCAGAATGAGTTCGTGTTTGATCTTAATTTCTCCCTTGGCAATCGTTTACCTATAAAGACAGTCCCTACTCCAAATACACTTTCAGTATCATTTGCCCTTCACTTCAGGTGAGTGATTTCTCGTGCTTGAGTACACTATTCAGTATTGTGTGGTACAATGTGGAGAAGTCAAGGTAAGCTGTTCCAATTTCTGGTATATTAGATCATTTTATCAAGCACATGGCATTTAAGGAAAAACCATAGTTTATTTGAACTGGTATGATTATAACATATATCCCAAAATTATTAGCGAAAGTTTCAAGATTTTTAGTGTGGATATACGTGTGTATATGTAAAGTTTGCATGTAGATCACTCTTACCTTTAGCATCAGCGAGGGTATTCAGCGTTTCTGTATGATCATCGTCCATCATCTGATTACTACGGCTTTCAGCAAGTCGTAGTTCCTTCAGCAGCTCTTGCTTCTCGCCTTCCAAATGAGAGATCTCTCCTCTGACAAGATGAAAGGCAAATAAACATGAGTTATTTCCTAACTAATGCATAAAAGTTTTATGATTTGAAGGTATAATCCATGCAAACAATCTGACAGAATTCTTTCCTCAAAGTTCTTATTTTTTAATTACTAACAATTTTTTCTTTCTAATCAAATTTATGCAAGTAACTTCTCCATGATTATTTTCATATTTTTGCATATGGGGAAGAGAAAACTGATTTGAATTTAAAGGGAAAATTGTAATTTGCAGGGTTGTCATTAACATTTTTTGCAGAAGGTTTGTTTTGAACTTGAGGCGGTCATTTCTGTCTTTATCATGCATAACAAAGAGTGTTTTCTTAATTTTGAGGCGGCCCATAATGCATTTGAGACAGGCATTTTGGCCTCCTGCCGCCTCTTAATGACAACCCTGAATTTGCATGAACCTTAATTGAGGGATGCTGTGACCCTTAAATGGCCCCTGGAAAAAGCTGAGTAAGCCTCCAGCAGGCAAAAAAGACATGTAATTGAATGTATCTCACTAAGCAACATGTTACTGTATATATTTTATAGCATACTTTTGTTTTCTGATGATATTTTGTGATTCCTCTGTGTATGCAGCCCTGTCACCCTCCATGATACGGTATTGTCTCTGCAATTTAACCAACTCTTGCTCTGCAAGCCCCTCCAGCTCTCCATCGCTCCCCACCGACTGTGCTGATCTAGGACGTGGCATTGTCAGCGCTTATCTTTACCCTAGTAAACAGTATAAAAAATTACTTATTACAGTATATAATGAAAAATATTTCTTCGATCAAACTGCTACTGTATCCTTGTAAGTACCATGGTAATTTGAATGTGTACTTCAGACTTCCCGAAATACGTCGGTCCGACGGACATGTCCGATAAATTTTGATCAGGTCCGACAATTTTTTATTCCGGATCGGTCCGATTGTCCTGCTTTTATCCAAGCCGCATGTATACAAAATGGCGTCGCTAAAGGTGCCAAACCTGGGAAAAACCAAAAATCTACGTCAGAAGAATGCGCAGAACAGCAATAAAAGGATGAAAAGAAAAGACCCGAGACAAAATTTAATGAAAAATGGAAGCAGAACCATGAATCATTGGTGTATGACAGGGAGGAGATGAAAATGCACTGTAAGGATTGTGCCGATTTCTACGGTGAAAAAATAAAAAAACAAAAAATGTCTTAGAAATACAAACACAAGTTTTTCTTTGATTTTGATCATTTTTATTTGGTCCGACAGATTTTGTTTCGGTCCGACAGATTTTCATGGTTTGTCAGACCGAATGTCTGACAGTTTTTTTCAACTTTCGGGAAGTCTGTACTTATTTGCAAACATTGTAAAAGACATCTATAAACTGATAGTCCTATAGGCTAAGTGATATCTTTACTACTGAACAAAGCAATAAACAAAAAATCTTGCACTTTGGTTGGGAGCCACCTGATTACATTGAATTTTATATTTTGATATAAAAACATGTTTTAATTGTAATAGCGAGCTCGACGAGCTGGCCCGAAGGGCCTGCTCGCAAAGCGAGCTTTACGGTAACGCGAGTACCTGCTAAGTGATGGTTTTGAAAACTTTCGTCCGAAGTACCAAATTGGACACATCGCAACCTTTCGAATTAAAAGATAACGATAAAAACTGAGGAATTCTGAATGAAAACGGATGTGTAGACTGGTCACCCGCGCACGTCTATGGGAACCATAATTGGACAGGGAACCAGAATAACGGAAGCTGTGTATAAAATATCGAATGACAGTTTTAAAACGGAAAATGTAAAATGAAAATTGAAGGCGCCATTTTGTTTGAAAAATCTGATAAATAAAAACAATTTTTTGTCGAATTTTGTTGTGAAATAGAATAAAAGAAAATGGTCTAACTAAGAAAATGAATCCGAACACCAATATCTTTTATTCAGTCGTTAACGCTGTACAGACGTTTAAAGTATTGTTTACGTGACGTCACAATGTAGCGCCAAACAGCACGTGCAAAACAAACAAATCAAGTACGCTATTTTAATGTCGCAAACGTTTTAAGTTTTACATTTATTTCACTTATAATTATCTTTATTTCGCTTGAAAAGTTATAGAGTGAAATAAAATAAACAAAGTTTTATCAACGTTTTCAAAACTCGTTTTTCATTTAACGACAGGGGCGGAGCCATAACACAGTACGTAACGTCACACGCACTCGTCACTGCATTTGAGATTATTTTATACTATTTCACGTTAAAAGTACATCGAGCTCGCTTTGAGGCTTTGCCTTTTTCATATTATTTCAGAGAAAAAACAAAAACTTAATATCAATGCATGGGTAGATATGTGTATGTAGTGATAACAAATGAAATATATGTCACTATCAGGAATCATCATCCAGAGTGGGGTTTGATTGTTATTATTTTGGTGATCAAAAATGCATAATGAGCATGTACATTAACAAATTAACAAACATCAGCCAGTTTAGGTGAATTTGTTATATATAATAAATAAGAGTCTTGTCTAAATGAAAGTTTTACTTTAAAAACTTAACATTGAATTATAAAGATACAAATTTACCAGTGATTTACCTTTCTCCAAAACAATCCCTTGTAAGTTGTTTACTAGCTCGCACCTGCTCAGCTTATGGCGTCTCCGTAGCTACATCTATTTCCGGATTACCAACTTCGTAAGAGTGATTTCCCCTTAAACTTGTACGCGCATGCGCCCGGTCTTTCTTCCTTTGCCGGCGAACACGGAACGAAGGTATTGAAATTTTTTCGTTAATATTCATGATTTACTGGGGAATTAAGATATGTCTGCACTCAGTTCTTATGTAGTTGATGAAGTAAAAGCATAGTTTACAAGTAGCAAAATAGGTTTAGGTCATTTCAATTTAATCAGTAGGTGAAAATAGCGTATTTCGAGCGTTTCAGATTTGTTCATAGGTTATGTCGTCAAATCTATGCTTCGGTGCAAATTCCGAAGAGTTTTTATGCAGATGATGCTTCGATTTACCTTTCACCTAGATTCATTTGGCATTGTTCCAATTTCCTGATATATGTGATAGATTGCTGAGTCTAGCATTTGATATAAGAATGAATAGCAGTGCAAACGACCTTGGATAAATTAACTGAAGGTGAAGGTCAAGTTAGTTGTAAATGACATTGTAAGTTGCAGTTTTCACCAGGATATAGCAGCAAAAGGTTAGATATTATTACAGTGATAATGATTTTGAAATTATCTTCATAGATCTTTTTGTTTCATAGTTACAAAGTATGACAGTTTCTTACTGATTGCCTTAAGGAATTTTCAACTTTGTGATATTTTTGGAATAATTCTTCATTGGGAACAAAATGTAATGTTCTGCAGCAGTGTTACTTGTGAGAAGAGGAATTAATATATATATATAGAGAGAGAGATTAAAAATTGGTGCCAGTATAAAATTATGTATCTTTGAACAGAAATTTCGACAATTTATTTTAAGGAAGTGGCTAGCCGTATGGGCCCGTACGGCTAGTCCAATAGATTAGACGTTACAGGCTTGTTATAGTTTTATTTTGGTCAAGCCTGACGTCTAATAGTTATTGGTCAAAAACGCGTAGCATTTTGAAAAATAAAAAAATGTCTGTTGACTTGCCTTTTAAGCTTTATTCAAAAGCTTATCTTCTGTTCTTTCAAGTGCATGGTCTATCATTAACAAAAACTTTCAAACAATGCACTTATCAATTAAAAATAGAATACAAATATCAGTCTATTTCGCTCATCGGCCATACTGGTTAAGTAAAGCGTTTTACAGATTGATTCCAATTTTTTGAATGGAAAAATATATTTGAACACACTGACGGTGCATGGGCAATTATTTCGTTGAAAAAATATTCCGTTAGAAACTTCTGGACTCATTTAAACGCTTGCATTTGAATTAGCCAATCAGATTTCGCGCACTGTATGGCGGCCATTTGTATATCGGCTGTACAAGGAATTTAATATAAATGAGAGGATTTAATTATGACTTTTCGGACGTGACAGTTCAATTATTTTAGTAAAAGGTATTTATTTTTTAGTTTTGTTCATAAATAGGTCAAAATTAATGTAAATACACGCTGTTTTAATTGCTTAAATTCATTAGATCTAAATCGATGTCTAATGTCAATTTTTTTGCTACACGATTTTGCAAAGATCTGTTAAGACCTAATGTAACATGGAAAATGAAAAATATCAGATAAATGAATGATAAATATGAAATAGGTTACGTATAGGTCTTATAATTAGGACTAAAAATTATGTATCTTTGAACAGAAATTTCAACAATTTATTTTAAGGAAGTGGCTAGCCGTATGGGCCCGTACGGCTAGCCAAAAGTTTTAGCTGTAGGTGAGTCACGTACGACTAGCAAGGACACAAGTTGTATTGGCTAGCCGTACGGCACTTTTTTAAATTATATTGAAGTCGAAAATGCATACTTTAAGCGAAGATTTTAACCAAGAAACAGCAAAATTTTGTCTTTTAAAGATTAATCGCCTTTTTGGCTATCGATCTTTGTCATCTCAAGATATCAAGAAAAAACAGCGTTTGGTTGCATTTAAATAATACCAATTGAAATAGTTTACAAAATTTTGATAATAATCCTTTGTTGTTTCATTAAGTTTAATTTTCGACACCTTTAAAATGAAAAAAAACACCTAAAGTAATTGTTGTTGGGCTCTGATAATTGCGTCAATTAGAGGTTTGTCCATCATTAAGGAAAGTTTGCATGTTCTGTTAAACGCATTATAAAATTATATTGTCAGTCCCTGGGTAGGCTTTAAATTAATTAAGGCTTACTAATTGTTTGTGCTTTTATGTTCGATATTTATCAACTGTATTTGAAAATTATACAATTATTTTTACTTTTCACCATTTTTTTTCAATGTTCTTTATTTATTCCACTCCGATCATTATTTATTTGATCCATGTGCTTAATAAACAAAAAATGATTTAATAATTCATCTTTCATACAAATAAAGCAACAAATGATAAGCTTGAAAATCAACAATTGACACTTTTATCAGACAGATTATACAACGCTTGTTCATACAGGCCTAGACATTAATTTTAGAATCAGGTTGTCCTGTCGGGCAAGTAGTTTTTAAAACTACTTGCCCTGACCTAAGACTTACTTGTCCTGACCTAAAAATGGTAAAAATCAGAAAAACAAACAAGCTCATACATTATTAAATACTTCTTGTATTAGGTAATAAACTGGACATATTGTTTATGAAATTGATTGTTAGTTAGACACAAATATTTTTTGTATTTAGTAGTTTTTCTAAAACATGGGTTCATCTGTTTATTCAATGTGAATATACTACGGTCATGTACATTTGTTGATATAGGAAACGGAAGGAAAAATATGAGCATGCGACGCGGTAAGGTAATTCCCCGTTCAATCATCAAGTCAACAGCCGTAAACGAGTCTTCGTTGTGTTCATAATGTTGTTATATTAGATTAAACATTAAATCATTTTAAATGCAAAAACTTTATTTAACAATTATATTTAAAGATCAATATGATTATTTACATATTTTAAATGATATCTTTACATGCAAACATCAAAATTTAAACAACAGCTAACCCGGGAATTACCTTGTACAAAATTAGATATAGTCTATTATTAGAGCGGGGAATTACCTTACCGCGGCGCATGCTCATATTTTTCCTTCCGTTTCCTATATCAACAAATGTACATAACCGTAGTATATTCACATTATTAGTCCCCTACCGGTTTAACCGGAGGGGACTTTAGGTTTACCCTCCGTCCGTCTGTCTGTCCGTCTGTCTGTCAGTCCGTCCGTCCACAAAACTGGATCCCGCGATAACGCAAAAAGTACTGAAAATATTTTTATGAAACTTGATATATGGATAGATGGCAGTATGGAGATTATGCACGTCTTTTTTTTTTCTTCCTATGTTGAAAATTCTGGTTGCTATGGCAACAAATAGTCTGAAAATATGGCAAATTTAACACATAAACTGGATCCAGTGATAACTCAAAAAGTACTGAAAATATTTTTATGAAACTTGAAATATGGGTAGATGGCAGTCTGGAGATTATGCACATCTTTTTCTTTTCTTCTTATGTTGAAAATTCTGGTTGCTATGGCAACAAATAGCCTGAATTTCAAGATTCCTGATTTAAATTTTTCAGCTTTTACACTATATGTTCTTTATTTCTTAAGGTGTTTACTTCAAACTTTAAATATAAGTTTCTGGTCATCAACCACATCATATGTGACAAGGTTTATAACTCTAGCACAAAAAATATCAGTATTACCTCCCTTGAACTTAGATTTTTTAGGGGAAAAAAATGTTGTCTTTTTTAAATAACTTCTTTATTTCCTAAAATATCTACTTCAAACTTCATATATATGTTTCTTATTATCACTCGACATTTTTGAGAAGGTTAAATACTCTAGCAAGACTATTTCCAGAATTATGTCCCCCTTGAACTTAGATTTTTTTCGAGAAACTAGTATTTTCACTCCAACTTCTTCATTCCTTATAGGATTTACTTTAAAATCCCACATCGTAATAATATGACAAGGTTGTATAAACATAATTTCCTTACTAAGCATGGAAACTTAACACATTACTGTGATATAGACAAACTTATTTTATAATGTTTTGTGGTCGATATTTTCAAATACAGACTTCATCCTCAAATTCATTATAAATGGCAATACACAGGAGTGTATGACAATTAAAGAACTTTTTGAGGGACCGGTAGGGGACTACTGTATTGCCTGCAATACTATCAAATGCTTGTTGATAATGATTGATGGTGTATTTTGTTTTAAAGATGTTTATAAATGAAAAGATGTTATTTCTATTCATTTTGTACATGCATTTTGTCAATGATGCTTTTTATTTTCACTTGCCCTGTCGGACAAGTGCTTTTCAAAATAACTTGCCCGGACCAAACTTTTAGTTGTCCCGGGCAGTCGGACAACCGTTAATGTCGAGCCCTGTCATATTCATTTTTTTTTACAAAAAGACGGAGCATCTTTATTAAAGTGAACAAACGAGGACAAATGTGGAGACTTAATTAAAGACACACAATAACATAAGCATTTTTGACTTCCATATAATTTTGAAAAGTGGCATATGGCTAGACAATACAGTGCGTCCTGGCTAGTCTTACATGACTCGCGTACGGCTAGAACTTTTTGGCCCCGTACGGCTAGCCACTTCCTTATTTTAATGAGTTTCATTTGAAATATTTCAGTGTTCTGTCTGGATTTACAGATGACATCAAATATGATTAAGAAGCTGTTGCCTTAAGCAATGTTTTTCTCACTATTGCTGAAATTTCTAAATTGGGAAGTAAACAAGCTGGTGTGAGTTCAGACTTTCTGGGAAAACTGTATGATTTAAAAAAAAAATCTGTTTGAAGCGTTATAGAAGGTAGAGCTGTTCTGGTTAAATTAACCGTTAATACAACTGGCTCCAGATATGATATACTGTTATTGTCAGCAGGCATACTTATGTTTTTCGTAACATTGTTAGCAGGATATCACCTTTCAGTGTTGATTGGATGCAGTCATCGAATTTAGCACTGGCCCGGTGGCCCATGGCCAGTGAAAATTAGTGTGGGCCAGTGTAAATTTTAAGAAAATTTAGTTAATAATATATAGTCAGAATGAATTCAAAACCAAAATTCTGGCCAGTAAATTCAAAATCTTATATTCAATGACCGTGTATGTGATTTCAATTGGACTTTAAGGCTTATATTTTAGGTCAACACAGGTTTTTTATTATTAACCAATTGGCGATCCAAACCATTGGTTAAAATGCTGTTAAAATCAGTTGTATTTTCAGCCTGTATATTAAAAAATCACCCTTGACTCCTAGCAAAATCTGTTGTTTTCTTTTGAGCATCTTTTGCATCAGATAAAAATGAAAACCCTGCCAACAATCCAGCCAGTATAATAAATTATTTTCTGCAATTACAGAAGAACATTCCTTTGGGGAAAGGGAATTTCTTGTGAAAGGCTGCGCTCTTGTTGGAATTTTGAGATTAGGCCCAGGTCCATGCATTGAGGGAATTTTGCAAGATCCCCCCCCCCCCCTTTTAATGGGGGAATTTTGTAGACTCGCTTTAAATTAAATTATCAAAAAAACAAGTACAGCAATGTATAAATATCATATTTGTTGCTTAATTTTTGATAAAGTTGTACTAACAAACACTTAAAGTCTCATCTCTTTCATGATTGAGGGTCAGTTTTGGTCTTGAAATGTCAATTTTATTGAGTCACTGTTTACGTTCCATCGAATATACTGTTCTTCATACAATATCATTCTGCTTATACTGATTTTCAAGGGTATTTTTTTGTGTGCAGAAAATAGGGTAATATACTATTATAAGTTTATGGGAGGAATGTGGTCAATATTTTGCATGAAACTTTTGTAAAACAGAAGTCCTGATTCAATGGGAACAGGCATGTTTACTTTATATGTCTGAAGAGGCTATTAAGAGGGGAAAAGCAATGTTATTATACTATTGCTTTAATATCTAATTTTTTTTTCTTTAATTTCAGAACTGAAAATGACTATCACCGTAGGAATCAACGGGTAAGTACTTGCTTTTTTCTCTATTAAAAGTTGTTCAATAAGATTTAAACTAGCACAAAAGTCTTGTGTCTAGTGGCAATACTTTGTTGTAATTGTCTTTTCTTAAGAGTTGGATTCACTTTCAGGCTTACATCAAATTCGTTTACAATGAAGTTTTGTGTGCAGTATATAAATCTCACTAACAGTAGAGAAAACTTTTTTCTGTAGTTTTGTTATGCAAAACAATCATTGATATCATATTCACAAAACATAAATACACTGTTGTGTTTGCCTGTAATTGTGTGTATTTTTACTTTCAGATTTGGCCGAATTGGCCGTTTAGTCTTCAGGGCTGCTATGGAGTCTGGTGGTGTAGATATTGTATCCATCAATGATCCTTTCATTGACCTAGACTACATGGTAAATATGATACTGTGTCCTAGCTATTTTTTTTTCATTTAGAAATACACTTGTTACTATAAATAGTAACAAAATTGCCCATGAAATCAATTGATTATGAGTATGACTTGACCGATTATCAGTTTGCGGCCAGGCAGATCTGTTATATTTAAGTAGGGAAAATCACTGAGCTGTAAAAGTGAAAGTAGGATTGAAGCACAAATAGCTTGATTTTATTACTAGAACATAAGCATGATTCTACAAACACAGCTTTATTGAAATTTAAAGAAAAAAAAATACTAGACTCAGTCACTCTAGCTACAATTTCATTTGTGAAAATAAATCTTGCTTCTAGATTCTGTTGCATACACAAAAGGGAAGCAACTCTGTAGAAGTTACTCTATAATTTCAACAAAAGAAATATTATATCAAAGTAAATTTTAGATCTATCAAGTGTATTAAAGACATTAATACACGTCATAGTTGGGCCAGAAGGTGATAATCAGCCCTGAATGAATAACGCCCTCGGTGACCAATATTAGATTTCTTGTTGGTACTAAAAATCAATATTCTTTAATGACTTTTGAATGAAAACAAATCAATTAATAAGTAAAGTGTGTCTTTATATTTTCAGGTGTACATGTTTAAATATGACTCCACTCATGGTAGATATAAGGGAACTGTTACGACCAAGGACGGTAAACTTGTCATCGATGGAAAATCTATCACTGTACATAATGAGTAAGTAATTTAGTAATTTTTACAATGAATTTTATTAAACTGCAGGGTTTTCATTAGGAATTGGCTAGTGGCCAATTTGACCACCTGAAGTGAAATTTTGGCCGTCTCAAATATGCAAAAATTATTGGTCTCTGGCCATGAATCACTGCTATTAATAAATTAAGTATTTGACTTACACTCATTCAATATCCACTAACACATTTGCATATCCCCTTATACAGGGTTTCAGGGCCGCCAAAATCAATTGTTCGAGTTGCCCGAGTCGTACAATTGTAGGTCCAGGCAAGTAAAATTCTGCAGTTTACTTGTCTGTGGACAAGTAAATTTCATCGGCTAAAAGAGGAATTCTGAAGAAAAAAATCTAGTTCTCTTCTAAAAGATCTAAATCAGAAGGAGATTTAATACGAAAACTAGCATGTGAAGTGTGGTGTCATTCGTGAGGGCATTCCGTACATATTAGGGTGTTACTATTTAAAGTGTTTACATAAAAAGCGACCAACCAGGCTTGGGGTTTTCCTTACATCATGCAGTTACTGCATGTGCGCGGCAATTAATTTATTATTGAACGTATCAAGATCACTATGTTGGGTACATGTTGTTTTGGTTTATGACTGCCGACTTAGCCTCTGCAGTAATATATTTTTGGTAGCAGAGGGGATTCTGCCATAAAATTGTAAACTGAAAAAGTGCTGGCAAAAGACGAATGCTCCTTCCAGTAAAATATACACAATTTGTCCATCACTGCCGTTCTACTTTAATCTACTGCCGTTAACATTTTATGAATATAAATTATATGATAATCATAATATATTATATTAATAAACATATGGCACAAAATGTTTAATAAAATTGAAAAAAAGTTCATAATCATATTGCTCTTCTTTATTGACGTTTGCAGTAAATATTAAATATAAATATTGACAAGTAAATTTCTTAGGTTACTTGTCCGTGGACAAGTACAATTTTCTGAGATTTTGCCGGCCCTGGGTTTGGTTCAATGCTAACTGGATCCCATTGACAGAATCCTGGGATGCTGAGGTTTCCAGAATTCGGGAGGAATACATGGAGTTTTGCTTTGGGATCCCTAAAAAATTGCCATGCATTTTAAAAAAAATATTCTTAATTTATAACATAAAATCGCAAATATTCAAGAAAAGTTATCTCTGTAAAGCAAAGTTCAAGACAGAAAAGAAAAATAGCACCAATAAAATCTACTTCAGCAATAACAATACTTTATTCAATGCCTTATTGGTATATGCACTTTGAAAAATGGGACTAAGCATTACATACCTAATTTAGATCCATATTATGCCTGGTCAAGGTCATTGTTATTTGACAATGGCACTCATGCTATTTATATTCAGTAGGTAAACTGAAATCTCAAGACACAGTGAGATTTAGATTATAACTTTTAGCTCCACTATTCAATAAGAATAAGTAGAGCTATCGTAGTCACCCGAGCATAGGTGTAACCTAAGGTAATACCTCAAATATTTTCAAACTCCATTGACATTTGGATTTGAAACTTTGCACACTTGTTCAACATCATGACCCCAACCTGTAGACAGGAGGAGGTAACTGTATCAAGCATTTTGACAGAATTATGCCCCTTTTTCGACTTGGTATTTACATTAAAGTTTTTGTAATACCTCAAATATTTTCAAAGTCCATTGATATATGGCTTTGAAACTTTGCACATTTGTTCATCATCATGACCGCAATTGTAGACAGGAGGAGGTAACTGTATTAAGTATTTTGACAGAATTATGCCCCTTTTTCAACTTGAAATTTACATTAAGGTTTGCATACCACCTCAGATATTTTCATATGTAATTGAAACAAGTTGAAATTTTATACTTTTCTTTGAGAGCATAATAAGACTCTCTCCAAGGCCTATAACTGTAACATGGATTTAAAGAAAAAATGTGTCATTTTGTTATTAAAATTTTACATTATCAAGGCTCTTTTACCATCAGGCATTAAGAATAGTCGAGCGTTGCTGTCCTACCTGCAGCTCTTGTTTCACAAGTGCATTATGGCATTTACAAAATTTTTAAGCCAGTCTTTGTTTGCAGGAGAGATCCAGCTAATATTCCATGGGGCAAAGACGGTGCTGAATATGTTGTTGAGTCTACTGGTGTATTCACAACATTGGACAAAGCTAACGTTAGTATATTTTTTTGTTAATTGTCGGTCAAGAACTATTTGATTATATCTGGTAACAGTCCATCTGTCTCTGGCATCTGTAATTTTTTTTTTAAATGCATGAATATCTTTTTATAGAAGTTTCTTAACTTGAAATTATGAAATCTTTACCAGAGAATAGGGATTTTTTATTTTTCAAGGAGTAGTCTCTTGTCAGAAATGAATGCACATATCCTAGTGCATTTCTGTTAATTTACAAAAAGAAGATAAAAATATCTCTTTAAAATACTTATTGCAAGGTTCAGTGCAATCCTCGCAAATTGATCCAGTTTCACAGAAGATTTGAATTAAAAATTTGTATGATAGCATAAATAAAAGACAAGCTGATCTCTACACAATTTCGTATTTGTTTGTATTGTTTTACATATTTTTAGCTCACCTGTCACTAAGTGACAGGTTGAGCTTTTGTGATCGCTTTTCGTCCTGCGTCCGTCCGTCCGTAAACTTTTACTTTAAATGACATCTCCTCATAAACCACTAAGCCATTTTCATGCAAACTTCACAGGAATCTTCCTTTGGTGGTCACCTTTAAAAATTGTTCAAAGAATTTAATTCCATGCAGAACTCTGGTTGCCATGGCAACCAAAAGAAAAAACTTTAAATATCTTCTTTTAAAAAACCGTAAGAGCTAGAGCTTAGATATTTGGCATGAAACATCTTCTAGTGAGTGTCTACCAAGTTTGTTCAAATAAAAGCCCTGGGGTCAAAATTGGCCCATCCCCAGGGGGTCATTGATTTTCCCTATATGCATATAGTAAAAACTTAAAAAATCTTCTTTTAAAGAACCCTAAGAGCTAGAGCTAAGATATTTAGCATGAAACATCTTCTAATGAGTGTCTACCAAGTTTGTTCAAATAAAAGCCCCGGGGTCAAAATTGGCCCCGCCCCAGGGGGTCATTGATTTTCCTTATATGTGTATAGCAAAAACTTAAAAATCTTCTTTGAAAAAACCCAAATAGCTAGAGTTTAGATATTAAGCATGAAACATCTTCTAGTAAGTGTCTACAAAGTTTGTTCAAATAAAAGCCCTGGGGTCAAAACTGGCCCGGCCCCAGGGGTGTCATTTATTAACTATATGTGTATAGTAAAAACTTTAAAAAAAATCTTCTTTTAAGAAACCCAATGAGCTAGAGCTTAGATGTTTAGCATGAAACATCTTCTTATGGGTGTCTACCAAGTTTGTTCAAATAAAAGCCCTTGGGTTAAAATTGGCCCTGCGGGGGGGCGACTATATACAGGTGAGCGACTTCAGGGCCATCATGGCCCTCTTGTTTCTAAAGTAAATAAATTTGTATGATGTACACTTAAGTTTACATTTATTTCTTGTTCAGGCTCACTTGACAGGCGGTGCAAAGAAGGTCGTCATCTCGGCCCCCTCAGCTGATGCACCTATGTATGTTGTTTTTTCAATGAAAAGAAATGTAAAAAACTTAATATAGTAAGGGGGGGAAAAAAGAATTTTCTATTTGATATTCTAACATACTCCCTGTATAGGTGGAAAAGCTTACTTGTTGGGTTTTCCAGAGGTTTAGTAATAGGGGGGTTTTTTCCCTCTTTAAATGGAAAGTAGTTTAGTTTTACGAAGGTTGGTTTTTACATGGACCGGGCTTGTGCCTGAAGTTGAAAAAAGGGGGCCCCCAAAAAGGTTATTGCCATCAGAAAAAAAGGAAAGTTGCTTTTAAAAACCTATAAGTTTGGGTATGAATTAAAATCTAACAAAGAAAAAAAGTATGAAAAGTGTTCTCCCAAAATAAAATTTTGGTCTGGATGCCGATTTAAATTCAGAATTTTAAAGCTTGAATTACTGTCAAGAATCATTGTAAAATGTGAAAATGTTTTGCAGTTGCATTGGTTAAATTTCAAGGGCTTGGGGAGTAAACACTGTTGTAACTGGTAAAACATAAATATAAATATAATTGTTTGTATATTGTACATAAAAGATTTTATTGGCGTCCCGAATCTTTCAGGTTCAGTGATTGTTTATTGTACCATATGTTTAAAAAGACAAACTGAGGTTTTATACCTGTTGTTAAATAATTAGTTTGCATCAACAGTGAAATTATCTTAAGCAATTATACATTTGTTTTTAGTAACGCATCCTGCACCACAAACTGTCTAGCTCCCCTAGCTAAGGTCATCAATGACGAGTTCGGTATAGAACAGGGTTTGATGACCACTGTACATGCTTACACTGCCACCCAGAAGGTTGTAGATGGGCCAAGCTCAAAGGACTGGCGTGGAGGCAGAACTGCTGCCCAGAATATTATTCCATCATCTACTGGTGCCGCCAAAGCTGTAGGAAAAGTTATCCCTGAATTGAACGGGTAAAATATTTTGTAATTAATTTAAATGACAGTGGCCTCCTTTGCCAAGTGGTTTAGGTCATTGACTTTAAACTATGTGCCGTTTATTACTGTAGTTTCAAATTTGGCCACAGACTTTGACTTCTTTATGTGAGGTCGCTATCCAACAAATTTATGGAAAGTTAGTAAGTCTACCAAAGTGTTCACTCATGTCTTCTTTTTCCAGTAAGTTTGGAAAGTTGCCCTACCTATGACCTATACCGTATTGATGGGCAAAATCCCAACCAAAAAACACACAAAGCATGATTTTACCTTCAGTGGTGTTAAAGTTTAGACCGTATACCCCCCACACATCAATGTTGGTGGGCTAGATTGGTTTTATGTTGGGCTTAACAAGGTGATCCATATACAAAGTACATGTTGGGATGTTTACTTGTCAGCCAGTAACATGTAATGAGACTATACAGTTAGGTGCTTCACTTAAACATGTTTACATGGCAAATAGATGCAGATGGCTATAATACACAAAAATTATAAAAGATTGTAAATTATGAAAAATAAAATTTTATTAATTGTTTTTGTTGACTTTTCATTGAAACGTTTGGTTTTTTTTTTCTAGAAAATTGACCGGTATGGCATTCCGTGTACCAACCCCTGACGTTTCTGTCGTAGATCTGACTGTTACCCTAAAAAAGAAAGTAAGTATGTTAGAGGGAAATAAAGAAAATCATTCTGTAAATTTTGACCCCATAGTTTAAAAAATAGCCATTTCAATCAAATTGGAACTACTCCATTCATTTACTTATTTAACGGAAGGAAGAAAACTACACAAATGTATTCGTTGTATTCTTGTTTCTTGTCCATGTAACAAGTTTATTTTCAAGTTAGTCTGTAAATTTATATATACAGTGGAGCTTTGGTGAGTCGAATTTGAGGGACTTTTGTAAAATCTTCGGGACTTTGACTAGTGAATAGGTCTCAATTTTATGACAAATTTTCGAGTTGTTAAGTTACAACCAAGCTACAAAAGGGGTAATAAAGGAAGGGGGGGGAAATAAACAATATATTAAAATTCAAAAAAAAGTAGTTTTACTCTTATTTCAAATACAGTGTACCCCCAATTTTAATATTAACAAATTTAAACATTGGAACACACCATTAAATTAAAAAACCCGTCCCCAAATTGATCTGAAAAACATCTTTCGATCAGAAATGGGGTTGAAAAAAGGGCTCAAGGTTGAAATGTCAAATAATCGAAATACTTTATTATTTTATAAAATTTTACTCAAAAAATTTAAAAAAACTTTAAAACATAAAATGTTTTACTCATATTTAAGTTTTTATAAGGATCATATAGGGAAAAATCGGAGCTTTCATTTTACTTGACACATTGAGAAAGTTGACTTAACAAAGTTCCACTCATAGAAGTTCTACTGCAGTTATACTATATCTCTACTTGTGGTTATTAGGCATTTGTAAAAAATATTGTATATTAATGAAAAATATTTCAATGAACTGTTGATTAGGTTATCTTGATTCCTGTTTACAGTAGCAGTAGCACTTCACATATATACATATACATGTATATATGCAACCATAATTATTTACTTTCAGGCGACCTATGATCAGATCAAGGATGCTGTAAAGAAAGCAAGTGAAGGTCCAATGAAGGGTGTTCTTGCTTACACCGAGGATATGGTTGTTTCCTCAGATTTCATTGGTGATAAAAACAGTAGCATCTTCGACGCAAAGGCCGGCATTGCTCTTACTGAAAACTTTGTCAAGCTTGTTTCTTGGTATGAATCTGTATAATTTCTTTTCAGTTCTATTTTTAGATCAACTATTTGATAAGAGTATGTAGAGCAAATCTAGTCACCAGAGCGTCGGCTTAACCACTTAAGTTAAAGTTTGTGTACTACCTTAAACATTTTCAAAGTCCATTGACATCGGGCTTTGAAACTTCACACACTTGTTCACCATCATGCCCCCAGTCTATAGACAGGAGGAGATAACTAAAGCATTTTGACAGAATTATGCCCCATTTTTGTCTTTAGAACAAGACCAAATGACATTATTAGAGCCTTAAGTTCAATTGTTTTTATCCAGTTGATGCTTCACATGACTAAGATATTTTCTATATTAGATACTGTAGTATATATGCAATTAAACTGTCGTAAATTGGACAGTTGAGTACATGAAGTCCTTTTTCTAAGAATCTGCAAAAATAAAAATCTGTTAATAAGATTGTGAGATTTAAAATGAATATTGTTTAGTTCTGTAAATTTTTAAAGATGTTAGTGAAATTTAGATGTGTTATTTCTGTATTTCAGGTATGACAATGAATGTGGTTACAGCAACCGTGTCATTGATCTGATCAAGTATATGAACACAGTAGATAAAGCTTAAATCAGAGACGGATAAATAGCTTCCTTAATACACAAATTAGGTGACAGATTGACATTTGTGATCTAGTATAGACTTAAATTAAAAATATTATAGGGATAAATTATCCTCCTTTATATATCATTGTGATGCATTTAATGTCAGACATGAAAGCATAATAAATGGTGAGATTTTTTTTTCTTTTTAATTATAAAAGTGACGATTGTTTTTAATAACAAGTGATTTTACATTTTATTTTAATACAGTTTTTGAGTGTTTTCGTTATATTATAAAAACAGCTGTTAGAGTTTGGACATTTGTCCTGTAAAGAATATATTAAAGTTAAGCGTTTATTCCTGTTCTTTTGATTTTTTTCAGGTTTTTTTTTCTTTTTTTCATACACCTCCGTTAATGTGTATTTAGTGTTATTTAACTACTCATTCTATGTGAATTATGTATTACATATGTGTTTTTAAAACTGAAGTTGTGTGCAAGGGTGGATTTTCTTTGTTTATCTGTGTCTATACGCAGAGAAAACACTTTAAACTCCCGGCATGAACTTCTTCCCAAGCCAGATGTATAGTGCTATAAATAACCTATTTAAGGTTATGGTTGACGGCCCTGATTAGAGAACGAGTTATCTCCCAGGTTACCTCCCTTCTCTATCAGGGTACATAGACCTTACATGTTTTGTTTTTGTCATAAATGTACTGATGTTCACGCACAAGGAATCAATACCACCAGATAAGCCTAGACTTGTATATACATTCAGCAGCCTTGTCCATCAAGTAGATTTGTACAACTCAATTAATGTTAAAAAAAATTGATATAACATAGTAAGTGATTATTTAAGAGGCTGTTAATTCACGAAAATTTTCTTGAGACTATAAAAGAAAAGAAACTACGTACAGTAAAGAACTGAACATACATATTTTAAGGGGATGTAGATCTGTAATTGTTATTAATGTTAATAAATTTTGTTAATCAGAAATAGCCATGAACAAATAAAGAGTGACGTCAGAAGTATAAATGAGAGTATAGTTGAGGTAGTGTTGGTTGTTAACGATTGTAGCAAACTCTTTTGCACAAATGTGACTGTTATGTCTAGGGATTTCATCAGTAAAATATAATTACAAAAAACTACAGCTGGATTTTGTCTTATTTGATTCCCTTTTTACACACGGTCAGCCTGTTTCCATATTCCTATATTTTGAAATAGTTCCCGAATTGCAGAAAACCTTTAACATATATTCTATATTTTTTAAAAATGCCAGTTCACATAAATTTGCATTGAAGTTTCAAGAGACAGACTACAGTAATTGTGAAGTGTTCAGCTTACTGTGCGGGCAGTACCATTTAAAATGTTTATAAGGTATTCAAATAAATGAGCTATTTTCTCCACTTGTACTGCGTTCCTGTCTCCTGATTAAATAGATGGCTAATAAACATTTGTACATGTATATTCTGCTTTACAAATATGGTGTTATTTCTACAAGTTACTGAAGGTTAAAAAGTTTCTTAATTTGAGGTAGAATTCCTGTTTAATTGAGGTTCAAAATTAAAGTGTTCTATGCTAGAGAATCATTCATATAGCTACTTGCCCAAGAAATCGACAACTTTTTATGACAAAGTTTGAACCCACATGGTTAGCAATACTTAGATTACTAGCCCATATAAACCAGTATCAGTATTCCTAACTTTTTGTGCATTTTCCTATATTTCTGTCGAAAGCCATTTTGAATAAACAAAACTCTAAATGAAGTGTTGCTCAAAAACAATTTCTTCAGTGCACAGTAATAAATACTTTAAAGGTGAGGAATTCAGATGACTTCTTGCCATCTGCCAGCACGATATGATTGGTCACAATCAAATACCCAAATAATGTAATAATTTTAATAGAAATCTTACATTTAGAGGGTCATAAAAGATGAAAATTTGAAGCTGTGTGCACCAACCATATAGAGCCAGGTCAGATTGCCAGGAAGTACAGGCTGGTGAGGGCTGTATACTGGTGGCAAAGGCTTTATCACGTTTAGTTAATGCAGCACGCCTCCAGATTCATACAAATTTTCATGAAAATGTATTGGGATGTGTAATATTGTGAAATAACCAAAAGGAAGCAATTTACACATTATCAATGGCACTTACAAACCGCATTAATTACCAAAAAGTGGTCAAAATATGCATAAATAGCCTTTACTGCGTAAGTAGGGCTGAAGAAATATAGTTGTAAATACTGAAAAATCAGTTCTTAATTGCACATAATTATGTAAAATATTACTTGAATCTTAAAACTTTACTTTTCCTTACATTTAAGTACATTTTTTCTCAAGTTTGATTTTATTGAAATATATTGACTCATCTGGAGGCATGTAGCTTTAAGGGTAAAAGCCTTGTCCAGTCAACATGTACTCCAAAATAAAGAAATTCTATTAAAGGAATTCCACTGAGGTCAAGTTAAAAATTGAAAACTTTTCATAGATCAACTAGGGCATTAAAAAAAAAAAAAAAAAAAAACGGAAAAGATCATATTGTTTAATTTAAAGAAATATATTCAAAAGTTAAATTGAAAATCTATATTTAGTATGATTATTAGCAGGATTTTATCTGACAGTGTTGAATACTTTTCATTTTTAGCTCATTTTTTAAAATAGAACAGTTATTCTTCAAAAACGCAAATAATTTTAAAATATGCACTCTAGTTACTGGTAATTAGGCTAACATAAAATGGAGAAAAAGAGTAAAAAATAAATAAATTTCAAGTTGTGTCATGGCAAAAAAACTAGGTGGAGTCCCTTTAAAATTTCATTGCATGAACTTTAATATGTACGATATTTTACATTGAGAATGCACTGTTGACATAACTGTGATTTTTGTATGTAATTTAACCCTTTCGCTGCCAGATGGTTATTGTTTTATTGATCACCTATTTGCCAGAGGGTTTTCTAAAAAATTACTATATTATTAATTATAATAATTATTATTATTATTTGTTATTAGTTTTATAATAATTATATATGTTTCCAAATATACTAGTATAATAATAATTATTGTTGATGGTATAATTTTCTTTATATTTATTATTATTTTTATTATTAATATTATTATTAATTTATTATTATTATTATAATTATAGAAACGGCTAATTTTAGCCGTCCATATGGCAAATACGCCGAAAATAACAGGGACGGCTTAAGCCGTCCCTATGGCAGTGAAGGGTTAACAGTTTATTCTCTTTCTGAAATAATTTTTCATGTGAGCATAATTAGTTGCCAGTTTTTCATGTGAACAAATAGTTGGCAGTTTTTTCCCACCATGCCATTCCATTTTATTTGCCTATTACTTTTCAACATGGTTCATGTATTGACTTAACTGCTTACTTCTCACCGCTGTGGTTTCAATTTTTCAAATCCTGCCAGGGACTTGGGATTTTCATGTTAGGAAACTGTCCGGTTAGCTTACTGTCAGAACTTCTACACCGGTTCCTGTTTGTGCCTGAAATAATGCACAGAGGGACACCTAGCTCAGGTCTTCATTCACTAGTAAAGCTGGAAAGTTATGACCTTACTACAATGTTGAATTCAAGTATTGACAATGTTTTAAGATATGTTGCATGTTGGGTATCTTTGATAAACCTCTTCCCACTTTTTGGAATCCTGTTTCAATGAGTCAAGGTCATTTGGGCTAAGAATGGATTTTTATACCTTACTTCAAGGTGAGGCCTTGTTTTCAGCTTGATGAAAGAATCATATGTAAACAAAATATTAGGTGTTTAACAATATTCTTTCTTAGAATGATATGTTTTGGCGATACCTTTCATAATCACTGCTCATAAATCAAAGAAAGAAGTCCCAAAATGATCATAATTATAATTGACACAATTTTATTTTGTCATACAAAATGCAAAAAGGTAATGCACCTGTTAACATAGTGAATAAATCAAAATCTCCAAATGAGATATTTTATAAAAGTATTATACAAAATACAAAATTGGAGCATGTATACGATTGAATGTAGATAAAAATATAATTAAAATATCAAATTGTTAATAAATATAAATACATATATGTAAACAAAAAGGAATGAAAAATTCAAAAAGCATCACATCTGGATAAAAAGCTAAGGAGATTTATGATATGACAAGTATTTGTGTTTGTACAAACACAGAAAACATTAAAACAACTTGAACAAACACACGGTGAGGAGGTTGCCTGTCTGCCTTTCAACCCATGAGTCACAGGTTTGAAACAAAAAGACAAATTATAGAATATTATTAGTTATAATGATTTTTGACAAGTTGTTATAATGGCTCTATATAAACGGTTGTTTATAAATATAACCCGAGCCACTGGGCATGTAAAAGAACCAAGGGGTCTATTTAATAAGAGGTAGGGACTGGTTCCCAGATTTCCTATCTCAAAGCTGTCTCTGGAGTCAGCTTAGGTAAGGACCCCACTGAATATAAGTGCTTGTACTTTTGTACCTTGATCCAAAGAAAATCAATTAATTAATCAACCTGATAAGAATTTAACAAAATTATAATACTGCGAACTCAACATATTAATATTACATGACAAATATTGAACTAGGACTATGCATTGGATATATATGTACATTTTGTTTAATCTACACGTTATGTTAAACATTTGCTATTCTAGTGGTGTTCAACCTTAAACAGTTGAGCATACATAGGGTAGAAAAAAATAGATTTTTTTTTAAAAAAATGCATATAATTACAATCTTCAGATGTTTTAGATGAGATTTTACAGAATATAACTAACATATACATGCATTTATATTATTGTATAAACACTATATCCTATTGCATTATCGTTCAATAACATATTAAAGGAAGACTTCACATAAGTGAAAAAAACTGGTAAAAAATTAAAACCCAATGTGACTCAAAATTATTATTTAAGATTAATTAACCACATACATGTAGATTCAAGTTTAACTTAAGAGCCCACACATCTAAGACCTGTTGCTCATACAGAATACAGGCACTGATAATTCTATGTTTCTAATTCCTATGGTCCAATGTCTCAAGATTGGGGGGTGTTATGACAATAGTGAAATAATGAGGGGTGGTAAACATGTATATAAAATGTTTGCTTTTAGCTAACATATAAATTATTGTTATATTAAGCAGTCATGGTTTTAAGCTTTGTAAATGTTATCAAAAGTTTTTAAATATTATTCAATATGTCATAGAACTTTATAATATATTACAATAAAAAGTAATAAAACTCTCCCAACGTGTTAAACTGGCATTTGACTTAATCAAATGTCTCTGGTCAATAATTATACATGTACTTTATATTGTAAAATGAATTTATCTTCATAAAAATTGAGAGAAAAGATTAACTTTCTATTATGTATATAAACAAGTGACAAGAATGACTAATGGGGAAAGAAAACATAGTCATACGGTTACCAAATGTTTGCTTTTAGCTTAACTATACATTATCTAGCAAATCAGTGTTTTGAACTATGTTAATTTAATTAAAAGTTAATATATAATTCAACATGTTACTTTAAACAGGTCTTTTTGACTTGTTCAAATGTCTAATCAATAATTATACTTTATATTGTAAAATGATTATATCTCCATAAATCAAGGAAACATATTATCCCATGCTTATTGTCTGTAGAAAGAACAAAGACTGAGTACCAATTTTGTCCTTGATTATAAAAAAACACCTTTTTCTGATAAACCCATTACATTATCTTTACTGACTAGGAAAATCAGCCAAATATAGACTCTATGTAATAGATATAACCAAAGACACATAGACAACGTATTATCTACATCTTTGGTACAACTATGTTCAACATATTTAATATATATAGTCAACAAATTTATGCCTCAAAGAAAACAATAATCGGAGGTTTTGATAAAACAAAATCTGGTTCAAACTTTATGGTTACTGAAAACTGTTAATTATAATTTCTAATCCAGTAATA